AGATCCATAAAAGAGGAAGAGGAAAAAATAGTAATCTGAAGTAAAAAAATGAAACATATTCCAATGTGTTTGGGGTTCTTAATTCCACAATCCATCATCGGAAAAATATAGCTATTCTTCTTTTATCAATATGGGAATTTCATAAGTGCTGTAGGACTGTGAAGGCTTAGTAAGGATCTGATAGACAGTGATTTATGGAAGAAGATTAAAATAACTTAATATTTATCCCTTGGCCAAACAACAGCTAGCTAAAAAAGGATGGGGCTTTTATAGCAAAAGATTCTAAGACCTGCATTCATCAAAGATAGGATATAAAAATAATGTAATGGCAAAAAGTAATAGAATGGCTTGATATAAGATAGGAGCACTTGTGAGCCCTTTTCCTAGTCCTCCTTAACTACGACACTATGCTGCCTTTGTGTAGGAACCATCCTTGTGATTATTAAACTATGGTGATGGTTTAGCATGTTGGTTGGGTTGGGGGACTTCTTTGACAAATGGCATAAACAAAGGATTGTTTAATGCTTTGTTCAAACCAGTCCCATAAATCAAATGGAGCCTTGCAGAATTTTGACATATGGTTGCATGTAGCACATTCAGCTTAGAGAGACCTGTATTCATTGTGCCTCCCACGTGACTGCTGAAAGTAGGTCATGGAGTAAAACGGCCAATATCCAACAAACTATAAGGAAAATAGGAAACATTTCCGAGCTTATTTTGTGCATAAAATTAGATCAGGCTGTTTAATAACAGGGAAATACAGAGCAGAAAATGTATTACTGGCAGAAACAGTGGAGGTAAACAAAAAAGTAATCACAGATAGTCCTTATTTGATGACTGCTTCGTTTAGCAACAGTGATGAAAAAGGAACTTTGCGACCAGTCCTCAGACTTATGATCTTCACAGATCTGCAAAGCAAAGCTGAAATGAGATCATAATCTCAGTTTCACTTAGTGACCACTTTGCTTTATGACTGAGTTGCTGGTCCAAATTGTGGTTGCTAAATGAGTACTATCTGTATTATGCTATATGGACTTGTTGTATTTCTATCCCATCTTTTCAGAGAAAAATAATATTCTAATTTTTATTCTTGCAATTACAGTACTTTGAAGAAGACAGGGAAAGATGGTGATCTCGGTTTAATGTCATATGAAGTTACAATTTGTTTTAATTGATTAATTGAATTACTTGGTTGGATTTATTAAGCACCTGGTGAGATGCAATATGCCAGCAGCGCCTCTGTTCCCAGATATGTAAATCTTTCTGCTTGGTAGTCTCATCCCTGTGCACCAACAGAGCTAGCTGTCTTGTAAAAGCCATTATTCCAGCTGTTCCAGCTGTTGCAATGGATGCTTCATTCTTCCTAGAATGAAGAAGGAAACAAATTATTATGGCATGACAGAACTTGCTTTCTTTTACCTCCATCCCATGTAGAATCTTACTTTTTTCACAAATGAAATTAAATGGTGAAAAAAGTAAGGTTCTATATTTAGGCAAGAAAAACCAAATGTACAGGTATAGTATAGGGGGTACCTTGCTCAATAGTAGTAATTATGAGAGGGATCTCGGAGTCCTAGTGGACAATCACTTAAATATGAGCCACCAGTGTGCTGCAGCTGCCAAAAAAGCCAATTCAGTGCTGGGCTGCATTAACAGAGGGATAGAATCAAGATCACATGAAGTGTTAATACCACTTTACAATGCCTTGGTAAGGCCACACTTGGAATACTGCATCCAGTTTTGGTCACCATGATGTAAAAAAGACACTGAGACTCTAGAAAGAGTACAGAGAAAAGCAACAAAGATGATTAGGGGACTGGAGGCTAAAACATATGAGGCATCGTTGCTGGAATTGGGTATGTCTAGTTTAACGAAGAGAAGGACGAGGGGGGACATGATAGCAGTGTTCCAATATCTCAGGGGCTGCCACAAAGAAGAGGGAATCAAGCTCTTCTCCAAAGCGCCTGAAGGCAGGACAAGAAGCAACGGATAGAAACTAATCAAAGAGAGAAGCAACCTAGAACTAAGGAGAAACTTCCTGACAGTTAGAACAATTAACCAGTGGAACAACTTGCCTCCAGAAGTAGTGAATGCTCCAACACTGGAAGTTTTTAAGAAGAGACTGGACAGCCATTTGTCCGAAGTGGTGTAGGGTTTCCTGCCTGAGCAGGGGGTTGGACTCGATGACCTCCAAGATCCCTTCCAACTTCTTTTTATTATTATTATCATTATTATTATTATTATTATTATTATTATTACCATCATCATCATCATCATCATCATTATTATCATCATCATCATCATCTTGTAGGGATGAAACCAAAAAAGCCATAGATATGGATTGTGCTGTGAGGCCCTGATACTAGTGTGACCATTTTAGGATTTTAATCTCAGCCCCAGAAATGTTACAGGTTCACGATCCAAATAGTTTATACAGAAGATTCCAGCCAAAATAGATTTATATAGAATGTATAACACATCCCTGCAGACGTGAGCTACTTGTTAATGGTTTCTTCATTCTGAGGCCTGAATTGGCCTCTTAAATAAACAGTGAGCAACACTTCAGCTTTTTCCCTGGGACTGACTAATATACAGAGCTTTAGGAGATGAAACATATTCTCTTTTTTTCCAGAAGTTCCACCTGTTGTGTTTTACTCTGACCAGAAGGAGGCAAGGTAGCTTAAAAGTTTTTTCTTGATTAGGGCTGCCCAATCTTTTCCAGACAGAGAAGAGCTTTGAGTCTCATTCTATGGGCTAGCGCTAGAAACTGCAACTAAAACTAAGTTTTATTAAATAAAATTAAATACAGTTAACAAGATTCCATTTCAGAAACGTCTTTTAGAATTTCTCTTTTGATACTTTATGATTTCTGGGAACCTCACTCAAGTCTTTTGAAGATCTATGCACATCACTAGAAATTCCGAACAAAAGAATATGAATTCAAAAATAACAATGGCCACAAAGCCAGCATTAACTTTACATCAACCACAGCACACTCATGCTATAAAAATCTGTTCTGTCTTGGCTCTTTCTTCTTATAGAACTTGAAAGCTCAGACATATCCCCAGAAATCCTCACAAATCAAAAGTAGTTTCTGCCACTGGCTGACTTCCATGGATTTTAGTAGACAGTTTGATGTGCTACCAGGAACACAGCAAAAAGTGTCATATTTTTTAGGATACACCCTTTTTGTTGGATGCTGTGCAGAAATATTTGCATTCTTTTCTCCAGCCATTTTAGCTCAGTTGCACAAAATAGAATTTGTTTCTGAAATTTATTTCAAAGGAGAAATTAATTTCTGTGAAATTGTCCTAGATGGGAGAATGCACGTACACCTCTTTATTTAGCCATGAAGCAGCTATATTTTAATGAATGTCTTGTCTTTCATGATGCAATAATCTCTCTGGCAGTTTGCAGGCTCTGTGACATACCATACTTCCATTAAATTCCAAAGGAAAGGATCTCCAAAAAACTCTGCATGACTTTTGTTTTTAAGTTACAGACTGGGAAGTGCCAGGTAGTTTGGGAGATTTTAAAATAATAAAAACATTCAGAATAGAAAGTAGCAGCAGCTGCAATAGAACATAAAACTGTCAGAGAAACTGCAAGTTCCTATAGTTTTTCTTCAATAAAATAATTAAAAAAAACATTGGTACCGTCTTAGTGCAGAAATGAGTTCTGGTGGCATCAAAATACGATACTGCTGTGCCTGGGGGTGAGGAGCACAATGCACAATGGCTGCATTGAGCCAATGCATGGGTAGATTCTGGTGCTCATCATGATTTTTTGGTTTAAATTGTTCATGGATATTGTATATTGTTTTAAATTTGTTTTTTAATTGTAGTGAGCCACCAGGTTGCTTGAATAAGATGGGCAGCCATACAAATGGTGCAAATAATAATAAATACTACTAACTGTAGTAGTGAGTAGCTGAAAGCTTTAGTATAGGGATCATACCTATTTCTTACCATCTTTTTTGCTGGTTGTGTGTTATTGAGCATGGAACATAAGGTAAGAAATAACTGTATAGATATAGATGATATAGACGGTTAGAAAACTAATTATTGCAGGTAATTAGATAATGAGTAACGAATAAAGGACTGAAATGTCCTAAGCTGGGAGTTAGAATAATGAGATCCTCTGAGATTTTTTTCTTTGCTCTTTGGTTCTTTAGATTTTGTTTCTGGTTATTTTATTTTCTTATTTCTGAATGTCATGTCATTTATTTATTTTTAATGTCATCATTACATAATTATACATTGCTTCCCCATTGATACTTGATCTTGATACGTCGTATTGCTTGGTACACTGTATTGTTGCAAAACTGTATTGTTTATATCTTCTTTTTTCATAGACCTCTAAGCCAGTCATAAAAAATAAAAAGGAAAAATAAAGCAAAATGTTACAGGAACAAGACAACTCTTTGTGGCAGCCCTTTCCATGCCTATTTATCTTCTCTAGAGTTGCCCAGACTCTAGTCCCTTTCACCCACCAAAGCATCCAAGATGACTTTAGCCTGGTCTCAACTTCGACCCAACCTACCCCACAGGGTTGTTGTTGGGAAATTTATGGAAGGAAATCTGGAGCTAATTAATTACAGGTAGTCCTCAATTTACAACAATTTATTTAGTGACAGTTTGAACTTACAAAGGCACTGAAAAACGTGACCATTTTCACACGACCATTGCAGCATCCCCATGGTGACGTGATCAAAATTCAGACGCTTGACCACTGATTCATATTTAGGATGGTTGCAGTGTCCCAGGGTCCTGTGATCATCTTTTGCCACCTTCTGACAAGCCAAGTCAATGGGAAAGCCAGATTCACTTAACAACCACGTAAGTAACAATGACAACGATTCACTGAACAACTGGCAAGAAATGTCGCAAAATGGGGCAAAACTCACTTAACAAATGTTTCACTGCACAACAGAAATTTTGGGCTCAGTTGTGGTTGAGGATTGTCTGTACCTAAGAAAAAGGAGCAAGGAGGAGGAGGAGGAGGAGGAGGGGACAGCGAGTCCCTGGGCAACTTCGAGCCGGCCTAGCGGGCCTCGAGGGGCGGACGTGGGGAGATGCGGAGAGGAGGAGGCAGGAGGAAGACCACGCAGGCCGCCTGGACCAGCGCGGGAGAGGCGGGAGGCGGGAGAGGGCAGCTGGAGGCTCCGCTGCCAAGCCACGCCGCGCCGCCCGGGGGTCTGCGAGGCCGAAGCGGAGCCGCTTGTCGACTGAGGGGGCCCCGAGACGCCGCCATCGCCGCCGCTTCAGAGGTCCGCGAAAGAAGCGCGAGGCCGCCGCTGCCTCCTCTCTGCACCCGGAGCGAGGCGGGACCGAGAGCCGGCGCCTCCCCGGCCCGGCCAGCGGCGGCCATGACCCGCGGCGGCGAAGACGAGGGCCGCCCGCCCGAACAGGTCGCCTCGCCTCCGGAGGCCTCCCCGGGCGGCGGTTCTGGGCGCCCGCCGCCGCCACCGCCGCCTCCTTCTGCTCGGGTGTCGCGGCTGGGCCTGGTCCTGGCCTTCCTGGCGGCGCTGCTGGCGGCCAAATACTATCGGGACGCGGAGGCCGCCCGGCGGCAGGTAATGGGGAGCGGTCGGGACGGAGGGGTGGGGTGGGGGGGCAAGGGATGGGGGGGCAGCTGTGGGGTCTCTGGACTTTGAAGGGGACTTAGACTGATAATAGTAAGCTTCATCATCATCATGATTAAGTACCGTGATATGGTATGTTTCACATTACATTTCATACTGTATTATATTTCACATTATATTATATTGAATACAATACGATATTCAATATAATTATATGTATGTATGTAATTCTGACATTAACCTGGCTTCAGTAATGAGTAACCAACATTTTGGGTGTGCAAAAGGCAATCCTGGGCCATCATGAAATGGCAAATGTCAGATATAAAGTGCATCTGTTAGTTGTTTACCTGATGGTTGAGCATCTTGTATGGATGCATCACTTAGGTAGGGTTATGTGTACCTGTGTCCTGTTGCATTGGAGAAAATCTGTTTTGTATTTATGTATTTACATAAATACATAAATATATATCTTTAATAATATAATATATATCTTTAATAATTTTGAATATTGGAATCCCAGGTATGGACATTTAAAGTCAATCAGATAAAAATAAAAATAATTGGAATTGGGCATGTCTAGTTTAATGAAGAGAAGGATGAGGGGTGACATGATAGCAGTGTTCCAATATGTCAGGGGCTGCCCCAAAGAAGAGGGAGTCAAGCTATTCTCCAAAGTGCCTGAAGGCAGGACAAGAAGCAATGGATGGAAACTAATCAAGGAGAGAAGCAACCTGGAACTAAGGAGAAATTTCCTGACAGTTAGAACAATTAATCAGTGGAATTAATCATTTAATTAATTAACAATTAACAATTGTTAATTAATAATTAATTAATAATTAACAATTAATCATTTAGCCCTTTGCTCTGATGATGTTAACAGGTTGTTAACGAAAGCTCAGCAATTAATAAAAAAGGCCTTTTATCTTACATCCCAGAGCTCTTTATTTTTATCTGATTGACTTTAAATATATATATATATATATATATATATATATATATATTTGTTTTCTGAGGTTTTCGCGGGTATTTGTATATAGGTCTTTGGTTGTTCGGGTTTTCTCCCGCGTAAAATTGGAAGTGTCTTGGCAACGTTTCGACGAAGTCACATTCGTCATCTTCAGGCTGGTGTTTTTAGCTTCTTGCTTTGAGCAGCAATGTGTGGTTTTAGCTGTTTCTTCCTTTTAATTCTCTCACATACACACACTCTCTCAACTCTCTCTTTCACACACACACACACACACACACACACACACGGCAGTGAATATACCTCATATTTCTGCCTCCTATTTTCCCCACAAGCACAGCTCTGTGTGATGGGTTGGGCTGAACCAGAGAGAATGACCCAAAGTCATCCACCCAGGTTTCATACCTAAAGTGGGACTAGAACTCCAGTCTTGTTTGGACTGGACACCCCACTTGATGGCATCTATCAATCAATCTCCTGGGGAGTTTGAAAGGTATTTGGGGGAAAGCCCCCCCATAAAATTCAGAAGTGTTTTTATTAGGGTAGAAATAATTGTTCATAGTCATGTGATGTGAATGTTGGTGTTTGGAAGAGTGTTTGTTCTTGGGGTGCTGGAAGCTTTTGAAGGTTCTTTCATGTTTTTATTACTAGGGTAATGAAAGCTGAGTGCCCAGGATTCTGTACATAATAAGATAGTTAGCCATATAAAGTGATACATTTTGTTTAGAAATGTTTATTGCAGTCTCAGCAGCATTAATAGAATTCTTTTCATTATGTATCTCTGTTCCTGGTGCCATAAAACTGAAGGGGGCATATGAGGACAGACAAAAGAACACACTTCTTCATGCATGAAACTGATGAATTCTTTGCAGCCCTCAATTACTTTAAAGAAGGTTCCTTGAAGAGAGGGGCAGAGGATAAATAACTTTTTCAGCACCCCCACTAAACTAATTCCTAAATACAGGTACTCCTCAATTTACGACCACTTTTGGAAGTGGAACTTCCAGTGCTAAGCAAGGCAGTTGTTAAGTGAGTCATGAACAATTTTATGACCATTTTTGCCATCATCATTTAAAAGAATCCATGGAGTTAAGAGAATCATGTGGACTTTAAGCAAGTCTAGCTTCCCTCATTGACTTGCTTGTCAAAAGCCAGCTGGGAAGGTCACAGATGGGAAACACGTGACCCCCAGGATGCTGCAACCATCGTAAATACATGCCAGTTGTTGCCAAGTGTTGGAATTTTGATCATGTAACTGCAAGGAGGCTGGATAAGTGCCAGGACCAGTTGCATGTCACTTTTTTTCAGTGCCATTTTAATTTTGAACGGTCACTAAACAAATGGTTATAAGTCGAGGATTACCTTAAGATGCAGAGGGATGCAGATTGTTAGGACTGGTTAGAAATCATCTTTTTATTTTTTTTTTCTAAGTCTGCTTATTGTGCCTGCAGATTCCAGGTTTTGATGCTTGCCAGTTTGCAGGTAGTGAGAAAACCCCGGGGGGGGGGGGAAAGAAACATATTTGGGAAATCAACATCCCGACTTGCAAAACATTATTATACTTGTAGGCATTTTAATGGCATTGCTCAGTCAAACGGATAACTGGCTGTACCTCACTGCATTTCAAATAGCCTTGGGCTAGTGCCACTAAAATAATGTCCTGGCCTTAAGTGCTTAGTGATGTCAGAGTTTTGTAGCTCCTGAGAGTTCCTCTCTTCTGAGTCCTAGCTTGGGATCCATCCCCAACCTATTTCTACGTTTGAACCAGCCCTGCAAGGCACTTAAGTGCTTTCCTGACCATAATTGACAACAACAGCAGCTTTCAGGCAGCATTAGCATCCTTTTAGGCTGGCAGATAGCAGATGGAAAATAAATGCTCTTCAGAGCTGTGGGAACTTTAATGGGACAGCTAGCGGCGTGGAAGCCCGCAGAGGGAAGAAACCATGTTGCACTAGGGAGTTGGGGGTGGTCTGCCTGCACTCCATAACAGATGACGGAGTACATTTTAAACTCATCCCCTCCAACCTTACTTGAGATCACTCGTTCATAGACCAATGTTTCTCAACCTTATGGGCTTCAACTCCCAGATTTCCCCAGGAGAATTCTGGGAATTGAAGTCCATATGTTTGAAAGGGATGGATTCCAACACCCATTACCTTCCACCAAAATCCAAAAAACTGTAGAGTTTTTTTTACTTCTAATCTAACAACTTACTCATGTTTCCCATACTCTCTCATATCTCCAAAACACAGCCTGAATTAAGCAGGTTTTTTTCCAACTTGGCAGCAATGAGCTGAGTTAGAAGGAATGTGAGCTGTGGACTCAATCCATTGGGAACATGTGCCTTAAGTGACTCACAGAAATAAATGGGAACTAGTGGGATAATTTGGCTGGGTTTTTTTTATATAACAGCTGCTACATCTCAGCCGTGAGCCAGAGTATGTTTGGGGGGCCAAACATCTTGCTGTATACTATATAGCTTCCTATACTGTACAGAGCAGGCATATCAAACTCACGACAGTCACGTGCGGTTTCAGTATGATGCATCCAGCCCGCGGGCCGGCAGTTTGACATGCCTGACATAGAGGTTTTGCAATTATTTGGGGAGACAAATTATGGGTCAGTGCTTAGAGTACAAGGTTTGCATATAAGTTGTAGGTTTGATTTCAGCCTTACTAAAAAACAGGCTGGGAAAATCCAGAGGGAGATAATCTTTTTCGTGCTAGGTCTCCAGTCCCTCAAAAGAAATCTATTGGAAGGTATTGTATGGAGATATCTATAGGTAATCCTCGACTTACAGTCATTTAGTGACCATCCAAAGTTACAAGGGAACTGGAAAAAATGTGCATCCTCACAATCTCTCTCTCTCTCTCTCTCTCTCTCTCTCTCTCTCTCTCTCTCTCTCTGAATATATATCTGTGCAATCTATAAAATATGTATATAGTATAATATATATATTATGGGTATGTGCATGCCAAAAATGATGCTGCCAAAAATCAGTGTTTTACTGCTAAATTTTGGCAGCATGATCTTGCAGAGTTTACAGAGATGCAGAAATGGTTGAGGGGGGATCCTTGTGACTCATGGAGTCACAACTTTATCGAAGGGGAAATATTGGGATGAGTTCACTGAGTTTTGTTTCTTTTTACAGTGCATTTTTAAAAAATGTTTACTGTTCTTCCATTCTTACATCTATGGCTGCAGTTATATTCCATTGCTGGACAGAGATAATCACTTTCCGAGTTGTTAAAATTAGGCAATTTCAGAGCTCAGAGCCACTGCTGCTTCCACACTTACAGGAAGAGCATTGCTTTAATTTAGAAATATCTTCGGCCATATTTTAGAACCCTGTTCATAATAATTTTTCTGACCATGTTCTTGGTTGATTACATAATCCATGCTACCGGAGCATGAATCCATGGTTCACTAATCATAATCTCAGGATTTGGAGCTACCTAAAAAACTCAAATTCCTTGTGAACAGCAAACCTTTTGACAAAACAGCGGCTGGGGAAGTTAGTGCCTTATTCACTTTTCAGTGCAATTCTGAATGCAGTTATGACACAAAGTTCTGTTCAGTTAAGTGCATTTGCTAGGCAAATTTGATAACAGCCTAAGCTTTTTATGCTTGCATTTCTAGCAAATAGCAGGAAGGTAATTATCTTTTGATTCCATCGTGTAAAGTTGGCTTACCTTCCATAAAACATCAGCCTATTTCTAATTTGCCTTTGCTCAAGACTAAAACAGGTGCCAGGCAATCACAAATCTCCACTTTGGAGAATATGTTCTGAAAAGTTAGCATCAGAAGGCTTTGCCTTAGAAGAGTGAAAATGAAAGAGGAAATTGGTTCTTTCTTCTTTTCACCTTTTCCTAACATAATTCACTTCTGTGATGTTAGTCTTGCTGGGTGAAATTTTGTTCTCTGTGCCTGAAGGGAAAAGAATCCCTCTGTAAGGGAGATGGGCAGATTCCAAATTTGATAATAATAAAGTTGGAAGGGACCTTGGAGGTCATCAAGTCCAACCCCCTGCTCAGGCAGGAAACCCTATACCATTTCAGACAAATGGCTGTCCAGTCTCTTCTTTAAAACTTCCAGTGTTGGAGCATTCACCGCTTTTGGAGGCAGGTTGTTCCACTGGTTAATTGTTCTAACTGTCAGGAAGTTTCTCCTTAGTTCAGTGGTTCTCAACCTTTTTAATGCCGCGACCCCCCAACCGATCGTAAGTTGAGGACTACTCAACCGGTCGTAAGTCGAGGACTACTCAACTGGTGCAGCACCGTTTGCAGAATGGGACTTTTGGCGGGCTCAGCAGGACAGAGACAGCCAATAGAATTAGACTCTATTCAAGAGAGTCTATTCTATTGGCTTTCAAAAGCCAATAGAATAAAAGGGAGTAGCACAGCTAAGGAAAAAGGGAAAAAATGGCGGACTGCGTTGTTTGGCGACCCCCGTGAAATGGTCGTTCGACTCCAAATGGGGTCCCGACCCACAGGTTGAGAACCACTGCCTTAGTTCTAGGTTGCTTCTCTCCTTGATTTGTTTCCATCCGTTGCTTCTTGTCCTGCCTTCAGGCACTCTGGAAAATAGCTTGACTCCCTCTTCTTTGTGGCAGCCTCTGAGATATTGGAAGACTGCTATCTTGCCCCCCCCCCCCCCGTCCTTCTCTTCATTAAACTAGACATACCCAATTCCACCAATCTTTCCTTATATGTTTTAGCCTCCAGTCCCCTAATTTGATAAATACAAAATAAAAGGAAAATGATGCATGCATTTTTCACAAGCATAGCTAATACCTTCCTCAAATTGGTGTTCCTTGGGTGTATCAGACTAATGCACATAATACTTAAAGATGAAGTCTAACACAACTGGAGGGTTCTTGGTACTGTAAAGGAAAGCTGGCTTACAAATAAGGGTATTTGAGTAGATGTCAAATTTAGTTGTGTTGCATCAATGCAATTTTCCTGACAGTATTATAGAAGTGGTTTGAAAGATCTTTTTCAGTCTAGCTCAGGGGTCCTCAACCTTGGCAATTTTAAGACTTGTGGACTTCAACTCCCAGAATTCCTCAGCCAGCAAAGGAGTTGAAGTCCACAAGTCTTAAAGTTGCCAAGGCTGAGGACCCCTGGTCTAGCTTACAACTACAATATGAAGAAGCATACAGGAAATCCCCAATTTACAACTGGTCCATTAATGACCATTTGACGTTCTGATGGACCTGCCTGAGTATTTATGACCCAGTTCTGGAGATTTGACAGTCACCCAACTTGCAGACAATCTGACTGAACTTTGGTGCTCAACAACTGAGCTGCTAGTAATTGTGTCCCATCATGTGACCATGATTTATGATGATTTTGGGAATGTCTTCAACATTACAATACCAAACTGGGAAATCTGTTTGCAGCTTTTCTGCATTACATCTATTTTGATGAAAGGATCTCTGTGCTCATTTCATTTGTCTGAAAGAAGTGCTTCTTAAGCTTCTTATCTGTCCAGGTGCATATCACGTAACTAGCTTGGGTGATGAGACAGATGGTTAATTTGAATTTCTTTATTTCGTGAATGTATGTATTAAAGAATCCCTTTTCTTCCACTTAGGAAACAGCCCTGAAATCTCTGGGAAATGAGGGTCTTTTTCTCTTCTCTTCCCTGGATACTAACAATGATTTATACATCAGTCCTGAGGAATTCAAACCCATTGCAGAGAAACTGACTGGTAAGTATTTTAAGAATTTGAGAGCACAAAAAGAATACTAAGTATTGGTGCTGTGCAATTACTAAATATTGGTCCTGTGCAAAAACATTTCTACCATTTTTCCCTCATGGCTTAAATGTGTGTCTTGTATTTCTTTAGTTATGTACTGGCTAAGCAGCTTGTGTATATGTGGAAGTGACTTGTTTTTCATTGTGAAATGATCTTATGTTTTATAATAACTTCCCTGATTTCCTGTGCAGTACTTCCATTAATTCACAAGGAGTGACCCCAGGATGGCTTTTCTCCCACAGATTTTGGTGCTATTGTCACGGGTAAGGTGAGAACCTACCCTTAAAAATTCAGATTTTTGGGAACATGGGGTAAGTGCCTTCTCAAAATGGCTTCCATGAGGGAATTGCCATAATAATCCCCAAATCCATATTAGTCCAGTATGCTTTTTGCTACCTTTTTTCTTTTCATTTCACTTCTTAGCAATTGGCTACACCAAAATGGGAAGATTTTGTTTTATTCTTCCTTGATTACAAGCTTTGGAATGAAGTGTTCTCAGGTGTGTGGATGCTGTTTATAGGTATTTAGGTGGTGTTAGCAACCTAATGCAAGGGATTGATGGCTACGTGAAACCTCCTTTAATAGCTATGTCTTAACAGTTCTCTTTTCTTCTGCAACAGCCACAACAGTGCAGTTGGATTAGATATCAGGAGCTGCAAGGTGGCCCATAAAAAGTTCATGATTTTTTTTCCAGGGACTGTAAAAAATGCATCTTAAATTTTGGATATATGAATTGTCTGCCTTTTGGTAGCTTTGATGGAAGACACTTCTTGTAAATCCATCATGCACACGTGCCAGTGCTTCTGTAATACATGTATATACATTGTGTGTGAGAGAGTGTGTGTGGGTGTGTGAGAGAGGTGCCCACAGTTTTTTCCTCAGCTCAGACTGATTTCAAAGGATAAGGGTGATGAGCTGTGTCTCTTTGAAAGGCATATGTGTCAGATGCTGTTCTCATTAAGGACAATTTTTTTGTAAAGCCGCTGTTCCCATTGTTGAACTTACAGAGTTGTACGTGCCGGTTTTGGCTAGGGCTTAAAAGAGATTAAAAGGCAAAAAAGATGGCTCTGCTGTCATGTGGCCAGTGAGCTGTCCCTGGTGAGGTGTCAACGGGCTACTTTGAATTCCAAAATCTCTGCATGCAGCATCATAATGTCAAGATTTCTATCTACTGGTTACTTAGGACTATCTTGACGATATATTTACCTGGAAAATGGATCTGTGTGCTTTTACAGGCATTCCTCAACTTACGGCCACAATTGAGAGCAGAATTTCAGTTGCTAAATAAGGCAGTAGTTAAGTGAGTCGCACCCAATTTTATCACCTGTTTGCTGGTCAAGTGAATCAATGCAGTTGTTAAGCGAATCCGTTGCCTTTACTTATGGAATGTTTCCCAAACTTGACAATTTTAAGGCATGTGGACTTCAACTCCCAGAATTCCACAGCCAGCATTGCTGGCTGTGGAATTCTGGGAGTTGAAGTCCTCATGCCTTAAAATTGTCAAGTTTGGGAAACACTGACTTATGGGAAACCAGCTTGGGAGATCACAAATAATCATGTGGCCATTTCCAAGTGCCTAATTCTTGATCACGTGACCACGGGGACGCTGTGGCAGTTGTAAGCGTGAGGACCAGTCGCAAGTCACCTTTTCCGTGCAATTGTAACTTCAAACTGTCGCTAAATGAATGGTTGTAAGTCGAGGACTACCTGTACAGGAAGGAAGGAAGGATTAATTTGGCCCATGCTTTGTATATCTGTAAGGAGATCAAGCTAACTGGGAAACTAAAAAGGTTTTGTCAACTTTTCAGCTATTTTCTTCTTAGAAACTGTGTACTGTTGAACCATGCCAAGGGTAAAAGCCCGGTGACTGCCCAGGCATAGTGGTCACCAGCTTCTCTGGCTTGAGAGTCAAAAACTTTCCAGTTCTTCTTGGTCATTGAATACCCTCCTTCTCATTTTAGCTGGATTCAGACACCATGCTCGGCGATGACTTGTTTTTAATCATAACTTGCTGAGCAATCTACAGCGGCTTGTTTTATATATGTTGTAAGCCATACATCAGGAATGCCCTACCCCAGCCCTTTTCCTTCTGCCAAACCTTTGGGTGTGACCACCAGAAGTTTCTATAGAGATTGCCTAAGAATGCTAATTTACTGGCATTTCATTAATTGATTTCATTTTAATTTTACATTCAGCCAGTTCAATTGGAGGGCTAATTTTTGTGCCCGCATTGCCTTCTTTGCATCCTTTGGGGAGAAGGGTCTCCAGTGAACCACTCAGGGACCAGGTGCAGGTCTATGTCCAAAAATGCTGGTGCAACCCTGCAGGTAAACCTGATTCCTTCCACCACAACTGTGGCATTAAGCCAAACCCAGACAAGTTACCTTACGGTTTCTGAATCCGATCCGTATTGTATTTTTTCCCAACCCAAAGTATTTGGCAGCAGGCTGTTATCCTCTCTCATCCCCAAGTAATTACCATCTTCCAGCTTGATGTGTAATAAAGGTGAAGGAGCTCACTTTAGCAGGAATCGGAGAAGAGACAGGAAGAAATCCACCCGCCTTTTGCATAAGCTTATTTGTGGGAACAATAATAATAATTTTGCAAGCCCTCTTAAGCCCCCGCGTCAGTTGTTGATGGTCTGTTGCTGCCACCTGGTGCATGGAGGTAGAATTGTTGAGCTCTGGCCCTCTTTTGGTACCCAATTCTAGGGTTCGGTGTAGTTGTCAAGTGCACAACTTCCCACCTGCACAACTGTAATCCCTGTGGACAATGTGTGTTGCACTGTCTGCTTCTGGTTGGTCTGTCATGGCAGGGTAAATATAGTTGATTTAGATTGCCAATTGAGAAAGAGCAGCCATAGTAATTTGGAGCAAGCTTTTTCTGCTGGCAGTCTCCATTCTTTGCAATCCACACCTGCCAAATTGAGATTCAGATTTTGTGGGCTTTTGGAGTACCTTTTTACCTGCTTATTTTCCCTGTTTTTATTTCAATAGTTGATGTTAATACCTGTGGCTTTTATTTTAGCTTTATATTTTTATTGCAATCCGTCATGGGAATTTTGGTAGTGAATAGTAGAACAAGTTAAATGAGTCAGTATGTTCATGAGGACAGTTAGTGCAATTTTTAAATGCTTGGCAACTTAAAAAACGTGGAACAAAGTTTCCCAGCATTGGCACTAGCTACTTGGTAAACCCTACAAAGAGCAGATAGGAGGAATTGAATCAATGATCACATAATCCTTTGCACACAATCCATGCTGTCTGATTTTTATATAAGTTTCACCCATTCTAATTTGGACAATAACTGCTATTACTGATTCTCTGTGACAGTTGCACTGTAGTGTAGCAGTGAGCTATTGTACGTGATACATTTATTTCACTAAAGTAATAACTCAATAGGAGAGGAGGAATGAAAATAAGGGTGCAAATCTTTTAGGACTGCAGTAGTTTTGGATGACATTTTAGGAATGGAATTGCTGAAAACTTAAATGATGTGATGGCAAAATTTCAGACATATTAAAACTACTGTGCGGTTTTGTTTGGTGGCATTCAATTCCTAAAGAAACAATTATTTTTCTAAATGTTACTTAACCATTTATATCAAACTACAGAAGACACCATTGGGTCTGTAAAGGATATAATCCATCTTATAGTGAAGCATAACATCAATATTATCTTCATTCCCACTGAGACATCTTTTCCTCTCTGCATCACCTTTCAGGCCAACTTCTTCTGATTGCTAGGCTTTCTTGTATTCTCAATTTCATATTTTTACTTATTAAAATGAGTTTTTGGTTACTACCGTTCCATTCAGGGATGGTTCCTGTGTCTGGAACTGAGGAGGAGGAAGTGATGGATCCCAGTGGAGAGACTCTCTCTATCCTTGCAAAATTCCAGCCTCTGTTGATGGAAACCATGACAAAGAGCAAAGATGGCTTCCTTGGAGTGAGTAGCACAGTTTAAAAAATATATATTGCAGCTACAGACATATGTTGGGGAGGGGGGGACAGTTTCAGTCAGCAATTCTGTGAATCCAGTCATTCAATCAATTGATCTTTATTCTGGTCCAGGGCAGTTATTAAAAATAAGCATAAATGTACAAGATGTATAACGGATATAAAAAAGTGGAAGTTTAAAAATTACACGGGATATAACATATGTGTAAATCTAAAACTAAGAATAAATAAGCAACATAGAGGTGGGCCTCAACTTGTGGCCATTTATTTAATGACTGTTCAAAGTTACAAGGGTGTTGAAAAAAGTGACATGACTGCTTCTTGCATTTACGAAAATCACAGCATCCTCTCAATCACGGGATCAAAATTTAGGCCCTGGAGCCACTGGCATGTATTTACAATGGTTGCAGTGTCCTAGACCAGTGGTGGCGAATCTATGGCACACGTGCCAGAGGCGGCACTTAGAGTCTCTCTGTGGGCACACGTGCCATGCCCCGGAGATGGCAACCGTCCCACTTCAACCAGCTGTCTGCTAACTTGGCAAGGTCCCATGTGGCCAGATGCATCCCAGCAAGGCTGGTTTCCTTCCCGCACGTCCCATCCCTCCTGGCCTCGCATGCTCTCCTTTTCCCGGGCACGACCTACTGCATCGCCTCCTCAGCTGTCGGCCAGCCATCCAGCTCAGAGGTGGCTTCTCTGAACTGCTGGCGGTGGGCTGAGGATCCCCAGATTGTGCCGGTCGAGGGGCTGGCAGGCTGTGGCTGCTGTGGTTGCTGACAGACATTGTTGGCCCCATGCGCTCACTGGCCTCTGTGTGTGGGGGGCGATGGTGTCAGCAGCTGCCCTGGCCCCTGCATCACCTTGCCCTGCGGCAATGGCACCCCCGCCCTGCCTCGCCTTGCCTCACCTCGCCTCACCCCGCAGGACAAGCCTCCTGCCCACTGCCCCACCTGCCAGAGACTCCCTGGATCTCCCCCAACCCTGCCCGACCCCCACAGGTGTCCCTCCCTACAAGCAACATCGAGGTGACCACGCCCACCTTGGCCACACCCACCCAGTCTGCCATGACCACAGCCACACCCATCCAGTGGGCCACGCCTACCTGGCACCCAGCGATAAATAAGTGGGTTTTGGGTTGCAGTTTGGGCACTCGGTCTCTAAAAGGTTCGCCATCACTCTCCTAGACTCATGAGATTGCCATTTGCAACTTCCCCAGCTGGCTTCTGGCAAGCAAAGTCATTTCACTTAACAACAGCAAGGATCTGTTTAACAACCGTGGGCACAATTCACGGTTGTGTGGATTAGCAATGAAAATTCTGGTCCCAATTATGGCTGTTCTTGCAATCTCTAAAAACTAGGTTTGCTTATTAATAGGCCTGCTTGTTTCTTCAGATTTCCCATGTGGCCTTTACTGGGCTCCGCAACTGGACAGCTCCTGCTTCACCCCTCAGTGTGATGTTTGCTCGACAATTCAAGGCCTTTCTTCCCCCAAAGAATAAGTTGGAACCTGGTGACCCGTGGTGGATCATTCCCAGCGAACTAAACATCTTTACCGGATATCTTCCCAATAACCGTTTCTACCCTCCGGCTCCCAAGGGCAAGGAGGTGAGTGTGGTGCTTCCTAATGAGGAAGAGAAAATAACCTTTGTGATTGTTGAGTGGGGCTATCTTGAATTTGATACAGTGGTGAGGTTGTTGGTTCTTATGAAAAGGGGAATTCTACACCTTTAATTTTGTTTATTGGGAAGTGGCGTTAAATGCCTGTAATTTCTGAACTCTGTCTATATATTGGCATTTCTCAGTCTTAGAAACTTCAAGTCCTTTGGATTTCAACTCCCAGAAGTCCCCAGCCAGCATGCTGGGGAATAGAAAATAGAAAGAAAGCATGCGGGCTGGCTGGCGGATTCTGGGATTTTGAAGCCCACCTGTCTTAAAGTTGCAGAGATTGAAAAACACTGGGCTATAAGATGATTCATTAAGTCCAGTCCCGGCAAAACGGACTTGAGAGGAAGGCTTTGAAAAGAGGGGGAAGGGGGGAAAGCAATGGTATTTTAATGCAGTGCTTTCTGAATCACAGAAAGAAACATTGCGGATCGATAGAGCACAAAGTAGAAATGCAGTGCAAATGGGCAGATCAATTTCCAGTCCTTGGCAGCTGCCCATTGGAATATTGGATCAGGTGTATTAAAGACCAAAACCACTGTGATTACTATAACAAATATTCAGTAATAACAGGAGCTATAAATTATTGAAAGGAGCAGAGAAACGGGAGGGAGAGCAAGGAGCTAAAGACGGGTAGGCAACCTTGGCTCTTTTATGACTCGTGGACTTCAACTCCCAGAATTCCTGAGCCAGCCATGAGGAGAAAGGGAGAGGTTTCCAAGTTGAGTCATGCTGGCTTAGGAATTCTGGGAGTTGAAGTCCACGAGTCATAAAAGAGCCAAGGTTGCCTACCTCTGTACTAGTCTATTAAGCCTGACAGGAGTAGATTACCAGAAACTGGTAGGCCTAGCCCAGGGGTAGGCAACCTTGGCCCCTTCATGACTCGTGGACTTCAACTCCCAGAATTCCTGAGCCAGCCATGCTGAGGGGAAAGGGAGAGGTTTCCAAGCTGAGCCATGCCGGCTCAGGAATTCTGGGAGTTGAAGTCCACCAGTCATGAGGGGGCCATAGTTCCCCCATGCTGGCTCAGGAATTCTGGGAGTTGAAGTCCACGAGTCATAAAAGAGCCAAGGTTGACTACCCCTGAGCTAAGACATCTATTGTTGAGCAGTATTTCAGAAAGACACTTTTTTTTCCTCCGGTGAGGAGAGGCACCTGGGCACGTTTCCTGTCGTAGAGAGACAACGTGAAGGGAGATTTAATAGCTCTTTTCAAGAACCTGACAGGCAACCTACACCAAGGATTTCAAGATTGTTATTTCAGTAGAGGTGCTTTCCAGTCCTGAGATTTTGTAATTCTTGGTTTCTCCTTTCAGGGGCTATTGTTCATTTTCAGGTCATTCCTCCCTGTATCTTTTCCTTTAGGTCCTGATTCACAAGCTCTTGAGTATGTTCCACCCGCGGCCATTTGTGAAAACCCGTTTTGCTCCTCAGGGAGCAGTGGCCTGCATTCAAGCTGTAGCAGAGTTCTACTACAGAATAGCCTTCAGGTAAAGTAAAGGTAAAGGTAAAGATTTCCCCTGTCTAGTCATGTCCAACTCTAGGGCAGTGATGGCGAACCTTTTAGAGATTGAGTGCCCAAACTGCAACCTAAAACCTACTTATTTATTGTCGGGTGCTGGGTGGGCGTGGCCCATTGGGTGGGCATGGCTGCGGTGGTAACAGCAGACTGGGTGGGACTAAAAAGTTCAATCAATCAATCCCAACTTTGCAAGATCTTTTTTTTTTTCCCCGCAAGAAGTTGAAATTGACTGATTGATTGAACCTTTTTTGTGTGTACACGGCGGCGGAGGCCTAAAGCAAAAAGATTTTATAAAACCCAGCTGAAGGCCTAGGACTGGGGCGACGGCACACGTGCCCACAGAGAGGGCTCTGAGTGCCGCCTCTGGCACCCGTGCCATAGGTTTGCCACCACTGCTCTAGGGGGTGCTGCTCATCTCTGTTTCTTAGCTGAGGGAGCCAGTGTTGTCTGAAGACACTTCCGTAGTCATGCAGCCAGCATGACTACACACCAAGGTGCACAGAACTCTGTTACCTTCCCACCAAAGTGGTACCTATTAACCTACTCGCATTTGCATACTTTCAACGTGCTAGATGGGCAGGAGCTGGAGCAAGTAACAGGAGCTCACCCCATCCCACGGCACTTGGGTCTTGAACCTGGGCTGTCAGCTTTCCAGCTGATAAGCTCAGCGTTTTTAACTGTTGAGACATCGCGCTACCCTTCAGATACAGTCCCCCAAGAGGTTGCATTCAGTGTGGGGCGTGGGAGGATAGGCGTGCGATTATGTATGAGTAGATCTGAGCAAGAAGCATGTTGGGTGCAACCGCAGGTGGGATTATTTCATCTGGTTGCTTAGAAGTATCTGAAGGAAAGACTGGGGGAGGCACATTATGTATGTGACTCCATGGCCTTGATTCATGAACTGGCCCCTTTATAAAGTTGTGGCCAAGCTGAATTGTTGGCCATCCACATTCTCTAGAATGCTTTTCCCGTCAAACCTGAGAATTGATGTCCTTGCTGGGATTTAAAAATCCCTTAAAACATATTGCAATTGTTTTTCATTATATACATATATGTTTTTAAAGTTTGTGGTCTGATGTTTATGTTTTATTTATATTACTGTGTGGCTTCAGTATTGAAGGATCTAATTATAAATAATTAACTATAAATAAAGAAGGCCCAGTGGATTAATTTTTAATGCAAAGTTAAATTTAGCTTTCTTTGTCCTGGAACAGATTGAATGGTTGGGATGTGATATTCCTCCCCCAGTGCCATTTAAAGACCATGAATTTAAAGGCCTTCTGTTGCTGGGTTGTCAGATTGAGAATAATCGTCCTTGCTCACTGGTTCCTCATGCACCAGCTTTGCTTGATTGGACTGTTGCGTTACTTATTGGTGCAGACAAGCAGTTCCCATGTGGTAGGGAAGGAATATTTCATGTGCCGGTGAAATTGATCACCTGATGATTACTTCCCACCTGAGCATCTAGCCAACCTGCTTTGCATGTAAATAGACTCTGATTCATTCATTGGCATCTCCAAAAGGTCTGTCAAAAATTCCAGCCAGATACTCAGGAGAGTGCCCGTCATGGTACAGCCAACACTACTGAATTAAGCAGCCACTTAGTCTCCCACTTCCTAGAAAATGAGAACCATCGTTCCTTCTTTTAGATCTAGTATAGCTAAGCAAGAGGAGCTTGAAATGTATAACTCTTGTCATTTTTGCAAATGTATGTATGTGACTGGCTTTGTTACACATTCCTCAGGAAGTTCTGTGATCGGAATGGATTTGCACTTATAAATCTTTTTCCCCAGTGGATCAAACTAAGTGACTGATGAGAAAAAGAGAGTGCAGTTTATTAACTCAGAATATGCCTAATGGAGGGCTAATGTTTCCTCAGTGAAAACAGAGATCTCTGCAAAATAGTTAATACACTGTTAAAAATAGAAAGAAAACTCAGAGTAACAATTCTATGCTTTATATGAAAATGTTTTCATTCAATTTTGGATCCCCACAGATGCTAGCAACTCGTGCAAATTAAAATAATAAAACACAATCGTTTTTAAATACACGTAGTGTAGAGTAGGAGCTTTAAAAATACCCACTGACGGGCCAAATCTTGTTTTGTGTTTTGAAGGCGAGAAGAACCATCAATATTGTATGTATAAGAGGCAGAATATTCCACCCTCTCAATTATTCAGTGTTAATGGCAGTGCTGGGAATTTACCATAGAGGCAAACTGGAAGTTTGTGCAGCTGTCTAAGCCCAAATGTAGCATGGTCCATACAGCATAAACAGCTAGTTTGGATCACTGGAAACATCTGTCTGATATTCAAGAACATATCTATGTAGAACTCAATCATAGCTCAACCATTCAGGCCAACATAGATACACGTCTCAATAAATGCATCCTGTAAAGAACTTCCACTGTTCAGCCATTTCATTCTTGCTCATTTACAATAATCCAAAATTCTTCTGGCCTGTTCTCTTGTGTGAATGCAGTCATCTTAATTTGGTGGGGATGAGGGAGGATAGATTTGGTGAAAATTAACTGCTTGGCTTCATTAGCACATAATGGCTGATTGCTTCTTTTGATTCCAGAATCCATGCAGAGTTCCAACTGAATGAGCCTCCAGATTTCCCATTCTGGTTTTCTCCTGCCCAATTCACAGGCTACATTGTCCTCTCAAAGGATTCTTCCCATGTTCGAGAGTTCAAACTGTTTGTCCCTAATAACAGGTAAGCTTCTCCAGTTTCCAGTACTACAAGCAAGCGTGAAATTTGAAGCAGGCTTACTCAATGTATCATTAACAATTTCACATTCTCCTAGTGAAGACAGTTTGCAATAAACATTTGGGTGTAATTCATTTTCTGATGGAGAAACAGATCTGCTTTAATTTTAGTTCTTAACAAGCTTAAAGGCAAAAGATGAACTCCTTGGATAGAGTTCATTGCCTTGACCAAGACATGGTGACTGAATCTATATCGTGTGCTAAGCCAAAATCAGATAAACCAGATGATAACTTGTGGCATGATTTCAGCTACTCAGTCAGGCAACTAAGTGGTCTTACCGGGTTTTAGAGCAGAGTTTCTTGACAATTTTAAGACGTGTGGACTTCAACTCCCAGAATTCCCATGCTGACCAGGGAGTTCTGGGAGATAAGTTCATCATAAGTTAAGCCAGTGTTTCCCAAACTTGACAATTTTAAGGCATGAGGACTTCAACTCCCAGAATTCCCATGCTGACCAGGGAGTTCTGGGAGATAAGTTCATCATAAGTTAAGCCAGTGTTTCCCAAACTTGACAATTTTAAGGCATGAGGACTTCAACTCCCAGAATTCCCATGCTGACCAGGGATTTCTGGGAGATAAGTTCATCATAAGTTAAGCCAGTGTTTCCCAAACTTGACAATTTTAAGGCATGAGGACTTCAACTCCCAGAATTCCCATGCTGACCAGGGAGTTCTGGGAGATAAGTTCATCATAAGTTAAGCCAGTGTTTCCCAAACTTGACAATTTTAAGGCATGAGGACTTCAACTCCCAGAATTCCCATGCTGACCAGGGAGTTCTGGGAGATAAGTTCATCATAAGTTAAGCCAGTGTTTCCCAAACTTGACAATTTTAAGGCATGAGGACTTCAACTCCCAGAATTCCCATGCTGACCAGGGACTTCTGGGAGATAAGTTCATCATAAGTTAAGCCAGTGTTTCCCAAACTTGACAATTTTAAGGCATGAGGACTTCAACTCCCAGAATTCCCATGCTGACCAGGGAATTCTGGGAGATAAGTTCATCATAAGTTAAGCCAGTGTTTCCCAAACTTGACAATTTTAAGGCATGAGGACTTCAACTCCCAGAATTCCCATGCTGACCAGGGAATTCTGGGAGATAAGTTCATCATAAGTTAAGCCAGTGTTTCCCAAACTTGACCATTTTAAGGCATGAGGACTTCAACTCCCAGAATTCCCCCATGCTGACCAGGGAATTCTGGGAGATAAGTTCATCATAAGTTAAGGCAGTGTTTCCCAAACTTGACCATTTTAAGGCATGAGGACTTCAACTCCCAGAATTCCACAGCCAGCAACGCTGGCTGTGGAATTCTGGGAGTTGAAGTCCACATGCCTTAAAATGGTCAAGTTTGGGAAACACTGAGTTAAGCTCACCTTAAAATTGCTGAGGTAGAGCATGTGCTTTGGTACTGACATTTTACCAAAAGAAGATGAAGCTTGGAGAGGGATATGATTCTGGAATGTCCACGAGGCCTTTCAAGCAAATTGCAGTGATTTATTTAACAATAACTTGTCTTGCTGTCAGTGTATTCCGTATACTTCTAAATGCTGTGTGTGGTAATTGCCCTCTTCTCTTTCTCATGGGTGCCCTGCTTCACGTGAATGAAAGTTTCTGGCCTTGTGGACTACAGCTTTCCCATTTCTAATGGTGGTAATTTTTTTCCCCCCATCAGGTCTCTTAATGTAGATATGGAATGGTTATACGGTGTCTTGGAGAGCAGCAACATGGAGGTGGATATAGGATACTTACCTCAGGTCTGTAGCCAGTCTGGACTAATCCTCTGTGTACATGCATTGAGCAACCAAGATGATTAGGGGATTAGAGGCTAAAGCATATAAGGAACGGCTGCTGGAATTGGATATGTCCAGTTTAATGAAGAGAAGGACGAGGGGGGACATGATAGCAGTGTTCCAGTATCTCAGGGGCTGCCCCAAAGAAGAGGGAGTCAAGCTATTCTCCAAAGCGCCTGAAGGCAGGACAAGAAGCAACGGGTGGAAACGAATCAAGGAGAGAAGCAACCTAGAACTAAGGAGAAACTTTCTGACAGAACAATTAACCAGTGGAACAACCTGCCTCCAGAAGCGGTGAATGCTCCAACACTGGAAGTTTTCAAGAAGAGACTGGACAGCCGTTTGTCTGAAATGGTACAGGGTTTCCTGCCTAAGCAGGGGGTTGGACTAGATGACCTCCAAGGTCCCTTCCAACTCTGTTATTCTCTTAAAGCACTATGGAGTGGTACATACATTTAAGTGCTATTGCTATTAGGAGTGCAGAGAAGAGCAACAAAGATGGGGACTAGAAGCTAAAACATACAAGGAATGGTTGCTGGAATTGGGTCTGTCCAGTTTAATGAAGAGAAGGACGAGGGGGGACATGATAGCAGTATTCCAGTATCTCAGGGGCTGCCCCAAAGAAGAGGGAGTCAAGCTATTCTCCAAAGCGCCTGAAGGCAGGACAAGAAGCAACGGGTGGAAACGAATCAAGGCGAGAAGCAACCTAGAACTAAGGAGAAACTTCCTGACAGAACAATTAACCAGTGGAACAACCTGCCTCCAGAAGCGGTGAATGCTCCAACACTGGAGGTTTTTAAGAAAAGACTGGACAGCCATTTGTCTGAAATGGTACAGGGTTTCCTTCCTGAGCAGGGGGTTGGACTTGATGACCTCCAAGGTCCCTTCCAACTTTATTATTATCAAATATTTCCAACTGTATTGTTGTTGTTATTTCCTTGTTCTTTTTCAATTAACAGTGAGAACATTCAGTTTTTTCCAATCTAGTCTTGACCATCTTTCCAGAAAATGTTGGCTAAGAAATTGGAGAGTCCTTTTCCCGCTATTCCATAGCGATTGCATTTACTGTTATGTTTAGTGTAGCTATTGAAACAACCCCTGTTCCTGGTGTGTGAAATAGACTACATCATAAGGCAATCAAATACCATTTTGGTATCCCAAAAAGGTCTTATGTCTCTGTTGTTTCACAGATGGAGCTGGAGTCTCTGGGACCATCTACCCCTTCAATGATTCATGATGAAAATGGGAATGTGATTGACAGCAGAGAAGGAGAACCAATTCAGTTTATTTTTGAGGAGATTTCGTGGCAGAGAGAAATAAGCTGGGAAGAAGCATCTGGGAAACTGGAAGTGGTCATGTATCCATTTAAGAAAGTATGTAAAGATCCTGACATCCTCTCAAATGTGATTAAATAATTATGCCCATGCTCCAGGGAATTGAATTAGCCAAAACTCAGATATGTGAAATAAATGCACAGTACATTTTTTGGTACATGCTTGGAAGTACTGGTTGAGGTCCCAGTGGGAATCTGGATCTCTTAGTACAACTGATGTTTTAATGGCTGTATCTTTTCTCCCTTCCTTTATCCCCGAGGCCATTGTGAAAGAGGCAAATGATAGAAATGTTTCTAGGAGCTTCTTATCAGCAGAGAACACAAAGGCTGTGTGTAACTCTGGAATTTGAAATAAAGAGTGAATTTATAACTCAAAGTATGAAAAGTTACACAGTTCTTGTAACAGAGCTCTCCCTCCATTGAGCTAGGGAAAAAAAAATTCCAGGAGAAAATGAAATTAAAACAAAAGCTGGGGGAACTTGAACAATCGAGTCATTTTAAGACAGTGGTTCTCAACCTTTTTAATGCCGCGACCCCCAACCAGTCGTAAGTCGAGGACTACTCAACTGGCGCAGCACCGTTTGCAGAATGGGACTTTTGGCGGGCTCAGCAGGGCAGAGACAGCCTGGACAATTCCTATTGGCTTTTGAAAGCCAATAGAATTAGACTCTATTCAAGAGAGTCTTATTCTATTGGTTTTCAAAAGCCAATAGAATAAAAGGGAGTAGCACAGCTAAGGAAAAGGGGGGGGGGGAAATGGCGGACTGCGTTGTTTGGCGACCCCCGTGGAATGGTTGTTCGGCCCCAAATGGGGTCCCAACCCACAGGTTGAGAACCACTGTTTTAAGACATTTGTGCATGGTTGACTCTTAAGTAACACAAGTACTTTTGGGTCAAGGATTGCATCAGGCTTTGTGCCCTATTGATGGAGCAGTTTAAAAGTGGGTAGGCCAGGACTTGATTTTGGGGTGTGGTTGGGATTTATAGGGTGAAAGGGCACTATAAGTCTCTGAGAGACTTAGGGACCTTTTTTTACCCTTGAACCCTAACCCCAACCCCCAAACACAGACACAAAAAAGGCTGCCAATCTTGGCCTCACCTATTCAAAAGGAGTCTTGAGGTGTGCAAAGAAAATAATAGCCTACAGGGCACGTTTTTTGCATGTTTGTCTTAAGAAGACCAGATTTCTTTTAAGAAGGCTTATATAAGCAGGATTGGCCAGCTTACAGGCTTGTGCGTAATGCCAGTGCTCTGGTTAACTTGAAATATGTGACTTCTTGTTGAATGAATTGCGAGCACATTGCATATGAGCAGTTATGTAAATAGTAGCTTGCCCTGCCTTATCTGCATTAGTTATTTCCTGAACAGGAAACCACCTGAAAATAATCATGGTTGTAAATTAAGATGGGAAGTTGGAAAAGAGCCCAGAAAAGGACATTGAGAAAACCACTTACGCACTCACATGCTGCTGAGAAAAAAATACTGTGAATCTGGCCAGGAGATGAGTGCGATTCAGAGGCATTCTTACCTTTAAGTAACAGAGCAAGTGAAACCTGCACAAGCTGGGGGGGGGGCCTCTGTCTTGTCTTTGGTTTTGGGAGGGGGCCTCCTCCCTGAAGATGCTGTTTTCATTGTTCAAAGGAAGCTCCCTTTGAAATGCAAATGAAGCTTCAAAGAATCAAGCTTTGAAGAAATAGTTTTTCTCTTGCCCCCCTCCCCCCCGTGGAGGAAGAGGAGGAAGACTTCACAAAAACGTTGGGCCTTAAAACACTTGCTCCGAAACTGCTCATATGACTGAGCTGATGTGACTTTTACCTCATATATTCAGTGGTCTGGGAGCACCGCCTGCATTATGTGAGGAAGCCTCTTTTTCTCCACGGTTGTGCATTTTTGACAGTTGCCGTGTCCTGGAGTCACATGATCGCCATTTGCGGGTTGTCCCAGATGGCCTCTGACAAGCATAGTCAATGGAGAAAGCCAGATTCTCTTGACATCTGCAGGTTTCAGTCAACAACTGCAACAATTTGTGTAACATCATAGCAAAAAGTTGTCAAATCAGGCATGACCTACTTAACAACCACTTGGCTTAGCAATGGAAATTGTGGTCCCAATTATGGTCGTAAATCAAGGACTACCTGCACAGTATATAGCAGAGGTCTTCAAACTTAGCCCTTTTATGACTTGTGGACTTCAATTCCCAGAATTCCTCAGCCAGGCATGCTGAGGGGAAAGGGAGAGTTTCAAAGCTGAGCCAGGCTGGCTGAGGAATTCTGGGAATTGAAGTCCACAAGTCATAAAAGGGTCAAGTTTGAAGACCCCTGGGCCAGACACTATAATCTTCACTAGCTGGATTTAGAGGGGAGGGACGGCCCCACCCCCACCCCAATCCCCACCAGTCTGTGAGAGAGAGCACTCTGCACCAGCTCAGGAGCCCTCTCTTCTCATTTTGTACCAGGAGGAAGGTTGGGCCTACGAGGCTGATAAAGTAAGACGGGGGGAGTAAGAAAATCCCCTTAGTCTCCCCCCCCCTCGCCTGCAAGCCGCCCCTTCCCCTTTCGCAAGTTCCCCTGACACGGTTCTGGGTCCCCACCAGCGCCGCATCCGTGAAGGCGGTGGTCCCGTCAGGCCGAGGGACCTGTGGCCAATCAGGGACATTTTATATGTCTCCATTTTGAATATACTATTCCATACTATGCTATTTTAACATGTTAGCCTTCATAACAATAAAATACATGAGCCAGATATCCCAAATGAAGGGTACATTCAGCTCATTTTGTTTTTCAGGTTTCCTACTTTCCCTTTACCCAGGCTTTTGAGAAAGCCAAGTCTGAGGGTAAACTTGTTCATTCCATACTCTTGTGGGGAGCCTTAGATGATCAGTCATGCTGAGGTAAGGGCTGAATTTGACATTGGGTTGTTTTTTTAAAAGGAGTTTGTTAGGAAGTCTTAAGTTTTTTTTTTCTAAGCAGAAGATAAAAATGCTAGGGTGATCATTGAGAATAACATTAATAGTATTTGAGGTAAACATAATATACTTGTTGTTTTGATACCCTGATTTTTAACTCAATAGCTCATGAAACCCTAAAGGTGCTTCATTAGTTAAGGATCTTGTGCTAGGTTGATTTTACATAAAAATCTCAACAACGTATGAGTACAGGCCAGTTTTTCTCAGCCATGGTAGCTTGATGATGTGTGGACGTCAGAATTCTTGGAGTTGAGATCCACACATCTCCCAAGCTACCAAAACTGAGAAATGTTGATCTAGGCTTTGAGCAAAAGGAAGCCATGCTCTGAAGAACTTAAAAAGAAAATTGAGAGCAGGCAGGAACGTAGACGTTGCAAACAGAGGTAGGAAGAGGAAATGCAAAGATAGAAGGGCACACATAGAGATAGAATCAAGATCACGTGAAGTATTGATACCACTCTACAATGCCTTGGTAAGGCCACACTTGGAATATTGCATCCAGTTTTGGTCACCACAATGTAAAAAAGATGTTGAGACTCTAGAAAGAGTACAGAGAAGAACAACAAAGGTGACTAGGGGGCTGAAGGCTAAAACATATAAGGAACGGTTGCTGGAATTGGATATGTCTAGTAGTTTAACGAAGAGAAGGACGAGGGGGGACATGATAGCAGTCTTCTAGTATCTCAGGGGCTGCCACAAAGAAGAGGGAGTCAAGCTATTTTCCAAGGCGCCTGAAGAAGCAATAGATGGAAACTAATCAAGGAGAGAAGCAACCTAGAACTAAGGAGAAACTTCCTGACAGTTAGAACAATTAACCAGTGGAACAACCTGCCTCCAGAAGCGGTGAATGCTCCAACACTGGAAATCTTTAAGAAGAGACTGGACAGCCATTTGTCTGAAATGATGTAGGGTTTCCTGCCTGAGCAGGGGGTTGGATTAGATGACCTCCAAAGTCCCTTCCAACTTTATTACTACTACTACTACTACTATTATTATTATTATTATTATTATTATTATTATTATTATTATTATTATTACATTCAAGCAATTATAAAACAAATGACAGTACAATACACTAGGATGTTTAATTCAGTTTGCATATTATCTCTCATTGTTTCTAATTCCTGCTTTCTGCTTCTCCTGGAAGTCGCTGGCATAATACTGCATGCCAAGCCCTACACAAAGACTTTACTCCAAACTGCCCTACTAAGCCAATTCAGAGTGACTTGCATTAAGGCAAGCTGAGCTCCATCTCCCAACTGGGCATATCAAGAACTTTGCCTGGGCACCCACTCATTCCTATATTCTTAGACTCTTCAATGCCCAACTCAGTGTTTGCAGCAGAACCAACATAACAGATATTCAAGGAGATGAAAGTGATGAGCGAGATATGAATATTACCATTTTACCTAAAGATTCAGAAATCTGCTCCTAAGTGATGCTATGTTTCATCCAAAGATTTCCCTAACCTCTTTTGTTCCTCCTCTTTGAGCAGGTTCAGGGCGAACTCTCCGGGAAACAGTCCTGGAAAGTTCGCCCATCCTTGCATTCCTGAATGAGAGTTTCATCAGTACCTGGTCATTGGTGAAGGAACTGGAAGATTTACAGGTAAGCTGCTACTGAAATTCAAGAGGAGGACAAGGTGGAATGGGAGGTTTCAGAAGACAGGGAAGAGATCACATAAGATGAACTTTGTTCTGTTAGTAGTAGTAGTTTATTGATTGGTCTTGCAACCTTGTCAATCCTTGCTCTATTAGATCATGTTCTGTTTATTCCTTTATTATGGTAGCCAGTTCATCTTTGGATGGATCTGGGAAGCTTGCAAGCAAGACGTAAAAGCAGAAGTACTATCCTTCTTTGTTTCTCAGCACATTGCCTCTAGTCCAGTGATGGCGAACCTTGGAGACTGAGTGCCCAAACTGCAACCCAAAACCCACTTATGCATCGTCGAGTGCTGGGTGGGTGTGGTCCATTGGCTGGGCGTGGCTGCGGTGGTAACGGCAGACTGGGTGGGACTAAAAAGTTCAACCAATCAGTTCCAATTTTGCAAGATCTTTTTTTCCCCGCGAGAAGTTGAAATTGACTGATTGAACCTTTTTTTTTTTTGCACACGGCGGTGGAGGCCTAAAGCAAAAAGGGTTTATAAAACCCAGCTGAAGGCCCAGGACTGGGGCGACGGCACGCACGCCCACAGAGAGGGCTCTGAGTGCCGCCTCTGGCACCCGTGCCATAGGTTCGCCACCACTGCTCTAGTACCTAAGGATTTCATAACCCTTATGACCAGTAAGCTGACCCTCCATTGCAGCAAACCTGGAATGGGATCCCTAAGCCTCAGGATTTTGTCCTCTTTGTTTAGTAAAGTTGTAACTGCTATAATCTATTAAGCTCCTGATGCCTATTGACATGAATATATGTTCAATTAAAGCATCCTTGCTGAATAAAAATAATGAAACATCCATGATCAAGATATAAATTCGTGAATATTAATTCAATTACTGATTAAAAGTGAAAGATAAAGAACTATAATCAGCAGTTCAGAATCAAACATATATATTCCCATCTCAGTTCATCAAGGACCCAGAAGGACTCAGCTTTTCATTTCCTAAATGAGATCAGAGAAGAGACAAGTATAATATCCATGGGACGTTTGTTCACAAAAATGATTGCTAATATTGAGAAGTGTCTCTGAGCCTCAGCTTCCCTCTCCTCAGTTTACAGAAGTGGATTACTACTAATGGCTTCTCTCAAGACAAGTTGGCTGGGTCAATAAGTGCCAACTCATAAGAGGGTTTTATATGTCAAAACTTGCACCTTGAGTTGCATCCATACTTCTCAGAAGCCAATGGAGGACCCATATAGTGTATTCCTGATGCCATACACCACTGCATTCTGCACTAATTGAAACTTCCAGATGGACTGCACATTATAGTCATCCAGTCAAGTGGTGAAAAGAGTAACTTATGTCGGCATAGTTCTCCTTCAGGTATGGCCACAACTAGCACACCAATTAAAGCTAACCACAGCCTCCATCTTCTTCACCAGCAGTGAAGTTGGTGGCAGTGGCGGCAGCGTTTTCCAGGGGCGAAAAGGAGTGAGGCCTCTTTAAGGAAAAGGTGGAAGAGACAAGATCAGAAAAAGGAAAGCAGGCGAGGTTGTCATGCAGGAATGCAAGCTAATTTGAGGGCTAATCCACATCGAGCTCTGTTTCCATCTGTCCTGTTTGCCATCATTCGCCATCAATCTGTAACTTGAGCTGGCCATGAACAAGGAGTGTATATCGGAGGTGGTGACCCTTTGATAGCTGTATGCAACAAAATTTCATTTTGATGTATGCCAATTCGTGTACTTTCAAAATGACAATAAAGTTAATATTATTAGTAGGAGTAATAGCCAGAAAGACTTCTATGTTGAGAACCTTCAACATTCTTCTTCCTTGTCAAAAGACACATTGGAGCTGGATTCTTCACTAGCATCATTTGTAGATATCAGTGGGTGTTCCCCTAACACCTAACTGAAGAATTTGTCTTTGCTTATAACTGAAATCTAAATAAAGTTATATATGATTTATAAATGTCATTTTTAGTATTGGTTATGCCAAGTGCTCAACATGGCAGGACTCTACAAATGAACTTGTTTTTATCTTTCAAAAACAAATCCTTCTGTCCTTCTGCTCTTGCTCATTCCCATCTCAACTCCTCACAACAAAGCTTATGAAATGGTGGTCATTCAGATGTTGGTGAATCACAGTTTCCAGACTCCTTCATTCTGGATGAAGCTACTACAAGATAAGAGTTGAACAACATCTGGAAGACAATCCAATGGACCAGAATAAAACAAGAAGCAAACAGTTAGGAAACACTATATCAACAATAATACTAAATACTGTAATAATCTTTCGTGGTTTTTAGATCTTGATGCAAGCATAGATTTTGATCTCATTTTAAACTAAGATTTGTTTCTGTTTGAACTAAACGAAGAGCATCTTACTAACACAAGAAATGTTAAAACGCAAATGTCCCTTTCACAGGGTAAACGGGATGAGATCACCAGCAAACTTGCAGACCTACATCTTGAAAAGTATAACTTCCCTGTGGAGATTATGATCTGCCTGCCCAATGGCACTGTGGTAAGATTTGCACTCTCTTGGATCTTTTCAATCACCTCTTCTTTATCTTTTAATTTTCTAAACCGTGGAATCTTTTGGAATTACTTTGACTTGCCTGCAATTAGAATTGAACATCTCATGGATAATTCTATATCACAGAGCTAAAATCAAACATTTGGAGCAATGCAGTGTTCTCGCAGCACTAAGAGAACAGAAAAATATTCTCTAATGATTGTCCTTTCTGTTCCAAAGGCTCTGAAATCAGCATTTGCCAAGCATCTGTAGGATGGTAAAAGTTAACTTGCTTGAAAATGGCTACATCTTGGGCAGAGGCATGACACACACGTACTCAGAACCACTTAAGCATTGGGATGGATTAAGGGGAAGAAATTAGCTGAAATACTTCCCAAACTTCAGCTTGAAGCAGGGAAGATTTATCACAAATATTCACAGAAACACTAAAAGTTAAATATGAATGACTATATTTGCTGTTGTGACTCTAGGTATCAATAGGAACAAAAAGAGATGCATGGGAGATTTCAGTGTGTGCGTGTATATGCAAAGAGTATCTATAACAGTGATGGCGAACCTTTTAGAGACCGAGTGCCCAAACTGCAACCCAAAACCGACTTATGCATCGTCGGGTGCTAGGTGGGTGTGGCCCATTGGCTGGGCGTGGCTGCGGTGGTAACGGCAGATTGGGTGGGACTAAAAAATTCCATCAGTCAATTCTAACTTTGCAAGATCTTTTTCCTGCGAGAAGTTTAAATTGACTGAACCTTTTTTTCTTTTTTTTGCACATGGCAGTGGAGGCCTAAAGCGAAAAGGTTTTATAAAACCCAGCTGAAGGCCTAGGACTGGGGCGACGGCGTGGATGCCCACAGAGAGGGCTCTGAGTGCCGCCTCTGGCACCCGTGCCATAGGTTCGCCACCACTGATCTATAACTATCAACCAGGATGTCTATGGGCAAATCCTCCTTTTTTGATCAAAGAGATGCAGGCGAGGTTGCCCTGGGCCTCCCTCCATCCCCAGTGGCTGCTGGGGAAAACAAGAAACATCCTATGGAGTTTGCAACCTTGCTTTTTTGTTTTGTTTTGCAGGTTCATCACATCAATGCCAACTATTTCCTGGATATTACTTCTATGAAGCCTGAAGAAGTTGAGAGCAGCATCTTTGGCTTCTCCTCCAGTTTTGAAGACCCTTCAACAGCAACTTACCTCCAGTTCTTGAAGGAAGGACTTCAGAAAGCCAAACCACACCTGTAGCCCCGAGACCAAGAAGGAAACAAGGGCCCTCCTCTTGAGCAAACGTTAACAGTGAACGTTCCTGCTTCTTGTGTCTTTGGAGCTTAGGCCTAACACAGTATTGAAAAACAAATGTTGTATGTAAATGAAAATTCCCCTTAAGCAGTTAAGTGTTCCTTGGAAACACGAAGGTCTGATATCTGAAATTACCTGCATAATGTGAAGGAAGCTGCCCAGGTATCTTTCTTGGTGATAAATTGTGGGATTATTCTAAAACTAATCAGGCTACAGGAAGTGGTACTTAGGAGACAGTGCAGTGCAAAGCATGGAGATTGAGTATGAGGCTGCAGTGAAATGCCAGCCGCTTGGATTTCTGACTCCTTTGGTGCAGTTCTCAGCCAAAACCTGGTGAGTTGATTCCTTAGTGAGATACCATCGTTTCTGCATCAAACCAATCCCCTTCAGGATCCTGAATTTATAGTACTTAAACACGGTTTTACACGTTAGAACTCTTAAGTTGCAAATGGTGTCAGAGGATCTCAAGGAGTCATACATATCTTGAAGTTGAGAAACACCAGGCAGGATCTCTATATGTGTGTCTCTTGTTGATGCTCGCAGGATTCCTGTTTGATGCCGTTATGGAGATCATTCCCTTAATCCAGAGTTTCCCAGTTCGTTACCCTCCAAGCTGCTGCAAATATAGTTCCTAGAACACCAAGACAATATCCTCTTGGCTGGGAATTCTGTGAGTTGTAGTCTCATCCACCAAAGCCTCCACTCCCTTTGACTATTCCTCTAGAGCAGGGATAGGCAACCTCGGCTCTTTTATGACTCATGGACTTCAACTCCCAGAATTCCTGAGTCAGCTGTGCTGACTCAGGAATTCTGGGAGTTGAAGTCCATGAGTCATAAAAGCCGAAGTTGCCTACCCCTGCTCTAGAGCCAGATTTAGTCCCAAATCTTCCATTTATTAATCTGTTAACCTTTACCACCACCGAGAATATCTTACACTGCTCAAAGCACCCACGGTATATGAAGCGCAGTCCCAGGAATTATGCTGTCCTACATCAAGCATTTGGAAGTGCTTACTAATGTTTTTGGTCACAAAGAGCGAGTCCCAGTCACAGGAATTTAATACTGCTACAATTGTTGATACCCTCTCAGTTGTGAGATGGTCTTCAAAACGGGGTCTCATAGCCTGTGGGTTTTTTTCCCCTCCTTTATTTCATGTTCTGCACATTAATTTCTCCTGTTTCTAATTTCTTGACTGAAGGAAAAGACGTGTGAATTCAGTTGAGAACAGGAGCATTCAGAGATAAGCAATATATCTTGTAACCCCCCCAAAATATGTTCTTCCTCTCCTGATCCCATGATGGATGATGATGTTATTTGTTCATTGGTGTCCGACTCTTGATTCTATGGACCAGGTCTTTCCACATCATCAGATCTTACACTTCTTGTTCTATGTTCTGGCTGGTGTCAGCTTTGATGGTGTCCAGCCACCATATTCTTTGGTGGCCTGGTTTCCTCTTATAGCTAACTCTTTCAAGCACAATTGCTTTCTTCAGCGAATTCCCCTTTGCCTTGTTCATAGAATTTTATACTAGACCCCAAACGGCGTCTCTTCTTTTGATTTTTTTTTTACATGTTTTTTTCTAGGATTTATTTGAGCGGTAGGTTGGGGGTTTTGTTACCAGAAAAAGAAAATCTATAGAAGACAGATAGCTTGTAGAAAATATTTTGGGAATGAAGTAATATTTGTAGCCTTATTGGGTTTGTTTTTAAATAATGTAAAAGTGAGCCAGTATTTTTTATAAACAAATGTGTTCTGACTTAGGCACTCTGGGTGGTCAAGCCACCATCTGGATTGAAATCAGCACACTGTTAAAAGTCAGGCTTCTTTTTTCCCTTTGATTCAAGTTACAAAAGGACCTACCAGTGTTAAGCCTACCACATCACATATGCTCTGAAGTCACTTACAGAGTCTTTAATATAAAAGCAGCATATCAGCAAGAAGGTGGTGTCTAAGGATAGCCTCAGTTTACAAACAACAGCAGCAGCAACCTTTGCAGGCTTTTATTTTTGTTTTAGAAACCTACTCAAATGATTTAAATGTTGCATAATCTAGGTCTCTGTATTCATGCGGCAGTCTGCTCTTGTTCATCTCTTGATCGTTCTTAATCTACGCTCTCCTGAATTTTTTAATCCGCTTGGAACATTTCCATATATCCCTAATTCCCTTCTTGGGACATTCTGTGATCATCATAATTCTTTCTACCTAGTTCTGTGTTGCCATCCTTTGTCTCTGGGTTCCTTATGTCTCTTGGTGACATTAGTAGAAATGTGGTCTGTGTGGTCACGCTTATCTGCAGTGGAAAGCTGTAATGTTTGTCAAAACACTCTCTTGTGAGATGGAATCCAACAAGTGCATGGTAACTTGGATGGAACTATCACAGGGGTGTCAAACTTGCAACGTCACGTGACGTGTCGTGACGTATCACAACTTTTTCCCCATTGCCGGCAATGGGGTGGGCGTGGTTTCAGCGTGACACATCCGGCTGGCAGTTTGACACCTCTGAACTATCATAATGGTTGCATTCCTGTGTCACCCCAATTTGCTTCATAAGCAAGCTCAACTGATGGTTTGCAAACCATGATTTATACATGTAGCCTATACTGGCTTGTTCAGCAAACCATAGAACAGCAATGTGTGAACTCAGCCTATGTGGCCAAGCATTTTTTGTGAACCCATGTGTTAAAGTGGAGCTCACATTTCTAATAATTGGCATTTAAGCCACTGGTACTAACAGCTGTTACTAACAGTAACTATTGTCGCTTTCATGTGTTTATTAATCTTTTAGAAATGTATGCTATTATGTTCCGTGACAAAGAAATCCCACAGGTGCATCAGTATTACTGTATACTTAATTTGTATTAATTTGCGTATGTTAGTATAATGTGGAGCTTTATTAAGCCAGTTTTTCTTTGCAAAGATAACAGCATTACTACTGCAAATCAGAGGGAGCCTTAGTTTAGAACACAGGGCTACTGTCGTGTTTTAATGTAAAAGAAACAGAAGGGAGCACATCCACATTAACTCTAAATCCAAAGAGGGTAGCTTTTTTTTCCTGGACCAGGTTCACACCTGGTCTTTGAATGGAATCTTGGGAGCTGCAGTCCTCAAAGGAATGGGAAACTAGGATGAAAACCACATTTAAATGTAATTACCATTAAATATAGGTGCTTGAAGAAAGCCATATTAATTACATTTAATTTAAAAGAGCTTAGGGAATCATGTATTAAGAATTTCCCCCTTTTGTTGCATAAAAATTGCCGTTTAGTAATAATGTTTGAAAATTTCCCGGGGGGGGGGGGGCACAGGCAAGGTTTTAAGCCAGAGGTGGCGGCAGTTTGTGAATCTCTTCTGTAAACAAGCATTCCTGAAACGTAAGATGTTTTAGAAGCCTTCAGAAAGAATGCCAAATGTTTGCGCTGATTGCCAAGCACTAAAATTGTCTTTCCAAGACTTTATGCTTTATCCAGAGTTAAGGCAATGGAACTGAGCAGACATTTAGTAAGAGACTCATATGGCTTTACTCCAAGAAGTTCTGCTTCTTTTGTGCAATGATCATTCCACCCAAATATTTGAAAAACAATCCAGAAAAACAACTTCCCAGATTCTTTCTCCTACTTGAATATATGAAACTGGCTTATATTAAGAGACAGTGGGTTCTTTTTGTCCAGTCTCATGAATAAAAGTCAGGGGTTTCAATTCAATTTCCTGCATCTCCAGATAAGATTGGAATAGCTGCTGCCTGGAATACTGGGCGCCATTGACTGCTGTCAGTTGTTACATTTATCCAAAGTTAACTGAATCTTGGATGCTTCCTGGTTTGTAGAACGCATGCACAGCAAGCCACAAACAAGCCAAGCACGCTTCATCCTAATGGGTATAGTGGGAATTCTACTAGTAGCGGACTAAAGTGGGCCAATGATTTGATGCTGTAAAAGGCAGTTTTCTGCATTTCTGTGTAGGCAGACCAGCATTAATGCTCCAAAGTCTGAGTTATTCTCTTGCTTTTTTACACTAGATTCACGATACATAGATATTTCTGACTAAATCTGGGATTTGAGGACTTCAGAGAAAATGGACGTTTACTTCTGTTGGATGTTGACGAGGATTGTGTAAGCTTTAGAGCAGTGTTTCTCAACCTTGACAATTTTAAGGCATGTGGACTTCAATTCCCAGAATTCCACAGCCAGCAATTGCTGGCTGTGGAATTCTGGGAATTGAAGTCCACATGCCTTAAAATTGTCTAGGTTGAGAAACACTGCTTTAGAGCAAGGGTGTCCAACTTTGGCAACTTTTAAGACTTGTGGACTTCAACTGTCAGAAATCCCCAGCCAGCCAAGCTGGGTGGGGAATTCTGGGAGTTGAAGTCCTCAAGTCTTAAAGTTGCCAAGGTTGGACACCCCCATTTCAGGTGTCTTTTCACCCTGCTGCAAAAAGAATGCAGAGACTCGGTCTCATGTGTAATGCCCTTTTGTCACATCATGTACACCTTTGCCCTCACAAAGGCCGTGCAAGGTTTCATATTCTTGGAAACTTTTGTGCATTTCCTGTCTCACCCTCTTGACTTTTTACCCGACAAATTTGATCCTGACTACTTGTAGCTTGAGCAGGCAAAAGGAAAATGAGTGAACGAAAACAATTCATGATGTTCTTGGAAAAGAACCTTTCTCCGTGGAAAGTTATTTAAGGCTGCCAACTTGTAACTGAACCAAGAATAAGTTCCACTGAGCTCAGTGGGATTTATTTTGGAATCACTGTGGAAAGAAAACACTAGTGGGCACTTTTGGGGAGTAACCATTTCATTTATTCTATTTTTGGCCCCTGGATTTCTTAACCAAAAAAGAAAAGAAAAAAGCTAAGCCTTTTCGATTTATCTTGTCACTATAAATAGAATTTTATAGGTATTTTGATAACTAGAGAGAGAAGAGAATGAATAAGTTGGTTTCTCTCTTTGCTCATCTGTTCTTTGTGAAGGTCTGATCTTAAATCAAGGATGGGTCAGGCTTGATTTCTGACAGTTGATTGCAGGAGAAAAAAAATCTTTATCATTCTTCTCTTCATTTTTTAAACTATTCTTTTAAAGATTTTTATTTTATTTTTGCTAAGTGTTTCCTTTTTTTTAAGGTGGTTTATTGTGAAATACAATCTTATTTGCATTCCCTCTGTTAACAGCCTTTCCCAACTAAATGTCTTTCGTGGGTTTTGGTGATCATGAGTTACACAGGTTGTCCTCAACTTACAACCACAACGGAGACCAGAATTTCTGTTGCTAAGCAAGGCAGTTATTAAGTGAGTTGTGCCCAATTTTATGACCTCTTTGACATGGTTGTAAAATGAATCACTGCAGTTGTTAAATGAAACATGCAGTCATTGAGCGAATCTAGCTTCTCCCATTGACTTTGTCGGAAGCTGGCTGGGAAGGTTGCAAATGGAGATCCCAAGACTCCAGGATGCTACAACTGTCATAAATACACACCAGTTCCTAGCACCCACATTTTGATCACATAACTGTGAGAAAGCTGCCGTGGTTGTACAAGTTGTAACTCACTTTTTTTCGATGCCATTGTAATTTTGAACATTCACCAAACAAGTAGTTGTAAGTTGAGGACTACCTGTAATCCATATCTTCAAGAATGGTTAGTTTGAGGCTGTATAACACTGAGAATATTTTGAATCTAATCAGTGTTGCTATTCATAAAATTATCTTAGAATAGCTGTGCTGGAGAGATTTTTAATAATGGTTATCAGAGGTCTGTAAAACAAATTAAGGCCAATCTTTCAGAGACTGTGCCAATATTCAAACAGACTATTTTTAGTTAGAAAGTTTTGGCTTCAAAGCATTTGAACTATTTGTTATCTCGAATACTGAAGAAATATTAAGGGAAAAATCAGGAAATGTCAATTACGTGACGGTCAATGTATTTTTGAACAGCTGTATATTTTTTAAAAAATTAACTTGCTTATAATTCATATAGGAACCATGGCCTTTGGATTTTTTCAAATCCCAAGAATGTTCCGTTCAATTTGAAACTGAACTGATATATTTAACTGTATCATAATTTCGGACCTCAGTTATTAAATTTGCAAGTTCACTGATTCATTTATAACAGCATCTTCCAGTCGAAGCAGTGTTATAGTAAAGCATCATGGATTTATTCTTGTATAAAATATTGGCAACATGGTTGTTTGTTAGCAGCAACAATCATTCTTTTGCAATAATAAAAACCGGGAAAACCAAACAAATGTGTTTTTGTATTTGATGCCAGGGCAATACAATGTATATTTGAAAAGTAAAAAGGAAATAGCCAATCTGTAAGTGGAGTACTGAAATAGGCAGTATTTCTTCTACCTGCTGGTGAGAAGATAACTAATTTAAAAAAAACATCTTTCTGATATAAATAGAGGCTGCTGACATTCCTTTTGTAGTAATTAATTGCAGAGTTGGCCTTTTAAACCAATACATCAAAACAGGAGTTTTCAAGTTTTTTCAGGCCACAGAACCTGTTCATTAAAAAAAAAAAATTCCCTGAACCCTTTGGCAAAGTTCTAGCACAGTGGTTCTCAACCTGTGGGTCGGGACCCCATTTGGGGTCGAATGACCATTTCACGGGGGTCGCCAAACCATGCTGTCCGCCATTTTTTTCCCTTTTCCCTAGCTGTCCTACTCCCTCTTATTGGTGGCCACACCCACTTGGGGGTCACTACAACATGGGGAACTGTATTATGGGGTCACGGCATTAGAAAGGTTGAGAATCACTGTTCTAGCAAAACTGTTTATTTCTCCCCTTAGTCTTTCACAGAACCCCATCAAGTTCTAGGAAATATGATTTGAAAAACCTGATTAAAACATGAAATGGTTAGCTGGGATCCTAAGAGATTTTGTAGCCTCAACTTGGCCTGGGTCTGTGCATGTGTGAACTAAGTTTATGAACATTCCCAAACTGGAACAATAATAGCTAACATCTGTTTTTTGGCACTGTAACATAATCCTGTTCATATTTAGTCAGCAATTAGTCTTATGTAGTTTATTGGATCAGATAACTTTTATTGTCATTTTTTTTACTGTGGGCACATCAAAAATGAAATTTAGGTGCCCGCTCTCAAAAGTGAACGCATACATAACGCACACCTAAACATCCTATATACAACATATGTATAGACCCACACCACTATATATACATAACAAATAAATCTTAAACACTGTCCATCTTGAATATATAACGGAAGGAGGAAGCTTGAGAGTTCACAAGTTTAATGCTGTATGGAACAAAACTGGCTGAAAATGGGATGAAACTATGGCTGAAAATGGATCAAAGACATCACCAACATTTTGCAGCATACACATTATTTATCCTAGGTCTCATAATGTCAATTCAGTTTTGAAATTCAAAGTGATTTGCAGCACTGAAAGTAACTAAGCAATAAAGGAGATTTTTTTGAGAAACAGCCTAAGGTAGTACTGTAACTTCTGGGTGGGGCAAGTTGAAGAGTAGTTGTTAACTTCCCAGGCAACTCCTGAACAGCAGCTTTTCAGGAATATTCGTTGGATTTGAGACTTCCCACTTGTAGGCATCCATTATAATGAAAAATCCAAAATATGCACCCCAAAGAAACACCAATTCTGGCTTTTCATATTTGTGTCCAGATGTTGGATGTCAGAATGCAAGTTACAGGATTAACATTTTTTACATTCTGGGGAAGCCCATGTACCACCATTTGTGGGGATGATTGGGGGGGGGGTACCTCTGATTTAGAATAATGCAGGAACAGCTACGCTGCAGTTCCAAGCTTCCCTAAGTATTAACTTCTTTGAAATCAGTATTCTGGAGAAGCATTCGCACTTTCCTTTTTTTTTAGGTGCCTGGATTGAATTCAAACATGCCAAGTTATATTTTAGGTTGGTTTATGAACCATATAGTTTGTGACTCTAAACTGGATTGGGCCAACCCACTGAAACACTACGTGATTCCGTGCAATATGTTGAACCAAGCAACGAGCATTCATGTAATGCACTACACCATCCCCCCCCAAATCCCAGACAAGTAGAAATATCCAAGCTTGTATAATGTCAGAAAAACCTGATAAGCAAAGTACATACCTGAGTTTACACGTGATAACAACAGCAAGAATTATATTTGCACAATACTGGAAGAACAAAGAAACATCACCAGAAGAAGAAATAATTTAAAAAAAAAAAAAACTAGACTGCGGAAATGGACAGACTTTAAGTGTTGAAAGAAAAAGAAGAAACAGAATATTTTCAAACTTGGGACATAATAATAATAATAATAAAGTTGGAAGGGACCTTGGAGGTCATCTAGTCCAACTCCCTGCTCAGGCAGGAAACTGTACCATTTCAGACAAATGGCTGTCCAGTCTCTTCTTAAAGACTTCCAGTGTTGGAGCACTCAAAGCTTCTGGAGGCAGATTGTTCTACTGGTTAATTATTCCACCTATTTTATCACTGGCTAGAGAAAAAATTTAGGGATTAGGAATGTAATTTGTATTTGTTGTTGTTAGTTGCGAAGTTGTGTCTGACCCATCGTGACCCCATGGTCAACGTTCCTCCAGGTCTTCCTGTCCTCTACCATCTTCTGGAGTCCATTTAAGCTCACACCTACTGCTTCAGGGACTCCATCCAGCCACCTCATTCTCTGTCGTCCCGTTCTTCTCTTGCCCTCCATCTTTCCCAGCATTAGGCTCTTCTCCAGTGAGTCCTTCCTTCTCATTAGGTGGCCAAAGTACTTGAGTTTCAACTTCAGGATCTGGCCTTCTAAAGAGCAGTCGGGGTTGATCTCTTCTAGGACTGACCGGTTTGATCGCCTTGCAGTCCAGGGGACTCGCAGGAGTCTTCTCCAGCATCATAGTTCAAAGGCCTCAATTCCTTTGCTCTCAGCCTTTCTTATGCTCCAACTTCCACATCCATACATTGCAACTGGGAAAACCATGGCCTGGACTATACGCACTTTTGCTGGCAGGGTGATGTCTCTGCTTTTCAGTATGTATTAGTGAATAAGATACTCCGACAACACGTTTTGTTGAATGATTACCTTTGAACTCTGTTAAAAAGAAAATAATCAATAAAACTTCATTTAAAAAAAGAAATATCCAAGCTTGGCACATTGAATTACCTGATCCCGTTGGATGCCTTCAGCAAGCCCTGATAATCGCTGCTTATTCCAAAAACCGCGTTTAATTTAAAAAAAAAAATGCTTTCAGGGCTTATTCCAACCAGGGTTGCCTCGAGCATCCACGCGCCCCCGGGGGGATGCCTTCTGACGTCACCCAGGGGGCGGGGCGGGAGTGGGGGCATCACGCGGCGACCTTCCTTGCGCATGCGCTAGGAGAGGAGCGGGGCGACGTTGGGGGGCCGTAGTTGTCGAGCGGAAGGGCAACCCGGGAGCGTCGGGAAGCGGCCTTCGCCCTGGGGGGGGGCGGGGGTCGTCGACATCGCTTTCCGCGTCCGGGTCGTCTTCGCTGAGCGGCGGGGGACTCGGCTCGGCCTGACGGGACCACCGCCTCCACGGACGCGGCGCTGGTGGGGATCCAGAACCGTGTCAGGGGAACTTGCGAAAGGGGGAGGGGCGGCTTGCGGGTGGGGGGGGGACTAAGGGGACTTTCTTACTCCCCCCCCCCGTCTTACTTTATCAGCCTCGTAGGCCCAACCTTCCTCCTGGTACGAAATGAGAAGAGAGGGCTCCTGAGCTGGTGCAGAGTGCTGTCTCTCACAGACGGGTGGGGTGGGGCCGTCCCTCCCCTCCAAATCCAGCTAGTGAGGATTATAGTGTCTGCCCAGGGGTCTTCAAACTTGGCCCTTTTATGACTTGTGGACTTCAACTCCCAGAATTCCTCAGCCAGCAAAGCTGGCTGAGGAATTCTGGGAGTTGAAGTCCACAAGTCATAAAAGGGCTAAGTTTGAAGACCCCTGCTATATACTGTGCAGGTAGTCCTTGACTTATGACCATAATTGTGACCACCATTTCCATTGCTAAGCCAAGTAGTTGTTAATCCGGGAAGGCTTATTAATTCCCCTCTGCAGATTTGCCACAAAGTTCTCCTTTATTGTCATTATTTTTAAAATATTGCCTCTCATCTCTTCCCTCCAATTCTCCACCCACCCTGCCAAAACCCTAAATTAGATGCCTGTGAGGGGCAGAGCTTCTTAAATTGGAGAATCAGGATTTAGCATCCTTTTTTTTTAAATCTAGGTAGTCCTGGAAGAAACTTTTTACTTTAGCTTTTTATTTGTTAAAAATAATTTTCTCTCCGTTTGCAATCCTATCTCATATTTTTTTTAAAAAATACTCTCTAATTAAGGACATATAGAATGTATCCTGCTTCTTGACATTTAAAATCCTTATATGCATATTTTCTAACTTTTATTCAAGCTTTCAAAGCTCATTACATTAGGTAGATTATGCTTTAAAGGTATTTAGAATTGAAGCTGTGGTGCAATGATAAGTAATGAGTTTTTCCTCAAAAGCATTTTTCATTTTGCTATGTAGTGAAGTAGTAGTACTGTATAGCAGACCAAAAAACGGGTGGTTCGGTGGGGTATGTCTGGAGTGATGTTTGTAGAAAGTAGAAATTGATATTAAGTTATTAGCTTTGTAAGGACAAAGCTTTTCTGCAGTTCATCTCTCTTTTTGACAGTTTCCCATAGAGCGCAAGCTGCTGACTCCACAATAATTTACTTGGAAGAGCTTCAATAGAATTCAGCGTTGTCTTTTTCTGAGTAAGTGTACTATGATGATACAGTGTTTTTTTTTCCCCTTAAATGAAAATACTGGTGATTGAACCAGCTTTTTGCTTTTGTTTTCAGAACATTTAAACTTGAGAGAATTGGCTTTTTTTCTGATTTTTTTTCCCCCCTCTCCTGCACACCCTTCCTTAACCACTCTGCACCTGCGTTAGCCAGTGTACCCTTCCCAAACCTCCCCATGACTCTCCCACCACTCATGCACCCTCCCCATGCTTCCCATGTACCCTTCCTGAATCTCACCTCGCTGGCCTGGGATTCTCTCCCTTATATGAAATAAAAGTAGAGGGTTTTTTTTATGTACAATTAAGTTATATAATCGGAATGGTTATGGTCTATATGAGGAGAACAGTAACAATAATGATGAGGCGTACAGCATAATGCCACCTCCACCAGGCCAAAGCATTTAGGCCTCTTTACAGTGGTACTTCATTAAATGTCTTCCTTTTTTTTCTTAGCTATGCATTTGTTAATAATGCATTTTGCCCATTTCTGCTCCAGAGAATGTGTCTTTGAATTAAGCGTCATAAATTTTGTGTGTGGATTTTGAAAAAGATTAATTTTTTTTCTTTGATTTTTAGGGAAGCTGATAGGATATTGTTGGATCAATATTGATTTCTGTAAAAATTGGTATTGTCCATTCCATGCATCTCTGGAAAGATACTTTGGCCTTATATTAACAGTGCAAGCTGGGCAAAACAAATACCTTATTTTTTTCCCAACTAAATCAGCTACTGAGTTGTCTTAAGCATTAGCTTTTAATTTCTGGTGTGTATTGTTGCTGCTGATCTCTCTTTGATTTTCCTCTTACTCCAAGCTGGGCAAAATAAATGCCAAAGAGCTCCACCTTCAGCATATCTGCATTATGCATGACATATGAACAGAGGGTAGATGAGCACTAATCTAAATGACTTGTCAAATATTTAAAGAATAAGGGGGAAATGTAAATATTAGATTACCGTTACGTAATTGCTGTAAAAAAAAGGAGGAGTATATATATTGTGTGTATGTGTGTTATGTTTTGCTTTGTTCTGTTTTGTCTTGTTGGTTAAAAATAAAAATAAAAAATAATAATAATAAAAAAAAATGACTTGTCAAGAAACTTTTGCTATCAATAAGTTATCTTGGGGTGGCTGATGGTGATACCAGGAATGGCACATGTCAAACTCTTGTGTAGATTGGAGAATTGACTCTCCAGTAGGACATATCAATAATTACATTTTCTTTTCTTTTCTTTTGTAAAGTTTGCCATGATTAACAGAAACTGTTAATTGCCTCTGAACAGAATAGAAAATCTTATTTAGTTGGCTAGCTTAATGTTTTAGTTAAACATGTTTATTTCTTTTAGTCAAACTTTGTGTTTATTTCTTTTTGTCTTATTTTGCTTTTTCCCCTTGTGAACTTCTGTAAAAAATTGCTAACACTTGATATCTGTTTCTTTTTTTTTTTTTTCATTCTTATGAGCCAAATCAGGGACTGACTGTGTTTTCAAAGCCAAACTAAGTAGTCAACATCTAGTGAAACATGGTCCGTCTAAAAGTCCATGTCACAAATGTGGGGGTTATTTGTCTTATCTGGTTGGTTTTAGGAACCAGATAATTGCATCACAAAATCAGGTGGCTGAAGAGCGAAATGAAAGTATAACTTATTTTTTATAGAACAGAATTAATACTTATGCATTTTATTTCCCACAAACAGCATTTGTTCATATTCATGTTCTTTAAATAAAGTGGTTTATGTTGTTATTCAACAGAATAATCACTATAGGAATAATCACCAATCTGTTCTGTAATACCTTTGGTGAATGGGATCTCACACCACAGATCTTCCATTATGAGGGAAAGCTGAGCTCTCCTTCAGATTATCCGGTGAGTTCCATATTTAGGGAGGGCAGAAAAAAAAATGACTTTATTGCAGTCGTTAATTAGCATAAAAGTTTAAATATTGTAACTACAAGGTAATATTCTCTTTCACTTCAATTGGTATGTAATAATGACCGTATATTTTCTCCAGTGAAAGATGACAGGTAAAAGTGGCAAAAGGCATGAAGAAATTGCTAATCTAAGTATTTTACTCTAATTTTTGTCTTTTATTTCAGTAATAAAATAGCTGCCCTCTTTCCAAGCTGAAGAGTGGCATAGCTCTTGTCAACGGAGGGACTTGTCTTACTACCTGAATGTTATCCTAATAGTTATGTAATTGAGCAGTGAAGCAAATTATCAAGGGAATTTGTGTAATTGAAAGGCTGCGTAAGAGTCTATGAGGAATATCTTTTTAAGAGTACAAGAAACTGCCATTTCTGTTTGGCAGACTGTCAGATGTTTCAACAGCATCATTAAAGGCCCCTCAGGCCTTGCTTATCTTCTTTGAATTACCTGAAACAACTGTGAAATTTGCATTCATCCAAGTAAATAATCTGTATTTGTAACGAGCCAATAATTTTCTTTAGGGATGAAATACTGTTCGGTTTATATATAATTCTTGGGACTTCAATTTTTTCCTGACTTATCTATACTTCTTGTATGGACAGAGATGGAAGCTGAATCAGTAAGTACCTGATTGTTTATTTTGAGAATACACTGTTATGGATTGCTTATTTATTTTATTTAAATACTGTTAAAATGTATAAGGCCATCCACCTTTAGACAACTGTGGGTGGTAAAAAGTGAAAATAAATACAACATTTCAGTGAAAAGGACACTCAAACACCTTAAGATAAGCAACCCTTAAAAGACAAATTAGCCTATTCTTCCAGGTATATTGCTTTAGAGAATGTCGTCCTCTAGTGGGTGAAATTTAATCTCCAAATTGTTATTTTGAAAATTAAAGATACATGGAACCTTGTTTTGGTGTTCAGTGCATGATTAGCATGATGAAGCTGAGGCCTGACGCTTCAAGCCTGCCATAGATGATTTTCAGGAACTAGGCAAAAATATATATGTACAAGCAGTGGTGGGATTCAAATAAATGAACAACCGGTTCTCTGTGTGGATGCCGCTTCTGTAAGTCCGTTCTGGGCCTAGGCAACAAAAAATTAGCTACCGGTTCTGCCGAAGTGCGAACCGGCTGGATCTTACCACTGTGTACAAAAGGGCAAAGGTTGTCCAATTTTGGACTTACTCTGAATAGTTGATACTGCCTCCCCCATTGTCAAGGAAGTCCCCTGTTTTATAACTTGATTTATCTGATTGATTTATTTATTGATTGATTGATTATATGCCATCAGATCAGTGTAGACTCATAGTGACTACCTCAGTATATTTTCTCCAGGACAATCTGCCCCTATACTGACCCTTTAGGTCTTCCGGTGGCGAGTCCATCACTGTGGCATTTGAATTCATCCATTTTGCTATTGGTCATTCCCCTCTTTTCTTCCATCTTTCCCAGCATCATAAACTTCTCCAGAGAGCCAGGTCTTTACATTTATAATATGTGCCTGGACATTTGTGTCTCATCTTGAGATAATTTTGTTTGGTGATCTATTTGCTTTGTGCGCTTGTTTAGTCATTGTGCCGTCAGTATGCCAGAGCTGGAGAGACTGAGCAACATTCGCAGATGTCTCTTGAAGCCTCTCCATCCAAATTTTATTTTGAGCACAGCTACCTCTTGTTATTGGGCTAACTGCTCCCATGCCTTGAATGTTTTAGATTCTGCTCCAAATTGTTCTTTATATAAGGATTTCTCGCCTCCTTAAGGCTATTAGATAACTACAGCTAATTTGGGGAAAAAAAAAAAACAAATTGAACTGTAGAAGACACTTTCTGTCAATCCAGAATCTGATTACGCTGGGCAAGATGGGAACAGTTTGGAACTGAGACAACATGTTCTGCTCACCAGTCTTCAAATGATTGGGCTTCTCCCCTCCTTCTCCTTTACGATGAGGGCAAGGCCAAAGGTCCTTGATCCCAGACATCTACCTAGCAGGTTGAGCCTTTTCTCAACCTGTTGAGATTTAGTATCTTGCCTTCAGTGTTGCTGGACAGGAGACTAGGCATCCCAGGTCAAGATCAGAGTGACCTTGAGATAGCCACATGTGTTTGTTGTCCTGCCCTTTTCACACAGGCTGGCATTCAGACCTATTCAAACCCCCCCCCCCCCGCTGTTAAATTGTTCTTGCAGGTCAAACAAGGAAATGTGTTGTTTCTTCCAGCTGACAAACATGTACGCAGAAATCTCTGAAAACAGCTAAATTCTAAATTGACATTTGGAGAGAAATTATTCAGCCCCCCCCGCCCCTCCCCATATTCCATCAGTTCAGTTTGTTTATTGCTTTGACCATAGAATTTGACAAAAACATCCCAAATTCACAGGCCCTCCTCCCACACCACTGAGAATTTTGGCCCATTTCACTTTTATCTCTGTTTCCGTATCTTTCAGTGTTTTATAGTGTACAAACATATGCTCAGTTGGGAAGTTTATTTCTTTTTATTATGGTGGTTTATGACCATAATAAACTTCAATGATCATCATTCTCAAGTGAGATTTCCAAAGCACGGTTGTCCCATTATAATCATTACCTGAGTTGGCTCTAGTTTTTTTTTTTTTTTAATTTATTTATTCTGATTGTACTCTTGTACAGGATCCCCTGTGACACACCCAGGCTGAGTGTTGAAAAAGGTTGTCAATGCCAATTACAGAAACTATTAAACTTTCTACGATGGAGGCAGAGTTCTCTTCTTGAGTCACTTGCCATAATAAATTATTTTTAACATGTTGTGACAGCGTCCTATGACATTATAATTGTTTTTTGTTTTGACAATACTTGCATTTTCCTGCTTTATCTTAGCAATTTATATCCTCGCAAAGCATTAGGATAAAGAAATGTTCCTTTTGTAATTCAAGGGCAGTTATAGAATTGTGGGGAGGCCTTCCAATTTCCACATTGTCTCTATTCCACCATTAATTAGTCTGTTTGCTATATACAATCTACATACTAATGTTTCTGAAAATGAAATTCGATGCCTCATTTTTAAAGAAAAGTTCTGCAGCCTTTAGAGCAGTGGTTCTCAACCTGTGGGTCAGGACCCCATTTGGGGTCGAACGACCATTTCACGGGGGTCGCCAAACAAGGCTGTCTGCCATTTTTTCCCTCTTTTCTTTGGCCACGCCCCTGGCACCCGGTGATGTATAAGTGGTTGGGGGTCACCACAACATGGGGAACTGTATTATGGGGTCACGGCATTAGAAAGGTTGAGAACCACTGCTTTAGAGACTAATAAACAGTTGCAGGATAACTGTTTAAAATGATCAGGCAGAAAATGACCAGTAGCTAAAGTCCCAGGATGCACTGTCTGTATTTATAAAGCCAGATGTTTACAAATTCCTTAGTATATTATAAAGATAAATCCCCTTTAAACAGAATTATCCCAGACCAGCAGGTACAGTTATAATATTATGGATCAAAATGCATTCCATGTTGTTTCTTGATAATAGTAATAAAATTGCATTAAGGCCGCTGTCTTTAAAACATTTTTATTTTGAATTGTTTCCTTCATATTTTTCTGGCTGAAATAATTCACTTTGTGTTTGTGGAGCCAGCTAAACTAAAAAGTGGATGACCAAGTCATCACCTGCTTTACTGTGTTAAACTTCACTTGATTTGATAAATGACAGTTGAACTCATCAGGCTTGCAGTGGCTTGTTGTGATCTGCATACAGAGTCATCACAGTGTTGTTGTGAAAGGATAGACTACTATACAATTTTACAATGGAAGACTGATTTAGGATGCAAATTTTGTAGCAGTCGGAAAGTTCATTTTGCATATTGGCCATTAATATCCCAAAACATTAACATATAAGCAGCATGAAAGATTGAGCAAACAAGAGCAATGAAATGAATCACTCAAGTTCCACTGAGGGATGTATCCAAAGTTAGTTACTTCTTCCATTGTTTTGTGAAGGTGATAGTAAAGTTAGCTGCAAGTGCTCAGCAAACCTCTAAATATATATTTAGTGTCTTGCATGAAACTGGGGAGACAGTTTTTACAACTGCTCCTTATCTACTAATTGAATAATTTCATTTAATATTGTATTGGTCCTCAGACAATACCAATTTGGCAGAACAAACCCTATGGGTCATCTCGCAGTTTTGTGAGAAGAATTGGAACAAGCCTTCCTTTAAAACCATGTCACAGAGCTTCCTTCCAGGTAAAGTTGTGTATTTGTGATTGTGTATCAATCATCCAGGCCATGGTTGTCCCAAAGTGTTTTTTTTCCAAAAGGCAACTGGATTTTCTTGGTATTTTCTCTGAAAACATTTCACTTCTCATCCAAGAAGCTTTCAAAATGGTTTCAAGGAAAACACTAACACTAAGAAAACACTAAGAAAGTCCAGTTGCCTTCTGGGAAAAAAAGACCTTTGGGATGTTTTTAATTGATAAAAGGTTGTTTAATATTTACTAATATGTTTGCAAATTTTTGGAAGTCCTAACTCTGTTTATCATATAGCAGTGATGGCGAACCTTTTAGAGACCGAGTGCCCAAATTGCAACCCAAAACCCACTTACATATTGTCAGGTGCCGGGTGGGCGTGGCCCACTGGGTGGGCGTGGCTGTGGTGGTAACAGCAGACTGGGTGGGACTAAAAAGTTCAATCAATCAATTCCAACTTTGCGAGATCTTTTTTTTCCCCGCGAGAAGTTAAAATTGATTGATTGATTGGAACTTTTTTTTTTTTTTTGCACACGGCAGTGGAGGCCTAAAGCAAAAAAGGTTTATAAAACCCAGCTGAAGGCCTAGGACTGGGGCAACGGCGTCTGTGCCCACAGAGAGGGCTCTGCGTGCCACAAGTTCGCTACCATGGTCATATAGCTTGCAGATTCTATAGAAGGCCTTTAGAAGAAATGCAGCTCCTGCCAAAAATCTCTCTTTATTGACTGTAGAACAACTTTTGGTATTTGATGTAACAATATTTGCACAAAGTCATTCACAACCTAATCTTACATGCATTCTGGAGAACCTGGTCCCAGATTAGTACAAATAGGATTGCAACAATAGGATATCAGTATCAAATGTATTAGGTGACAATAAACATCAGATAGGAAATCTTAAAAGGGTTACTTTGTTGATAGATTGTAAATTACAGAAAACCAGAAAGCACCCCACCCATCCCAGCATTCTAAACAAAATGATCATTAGTAATCATCACCAAGACTTTAATATTGGTGTATATTATTCTATGGAAGGAGGTCAAAACCTGCTTTTGAGATTGTTTCCAATCTCAAAAGAACTAGGTGCATCTTTTCAGCATGTTTTTACAAATTAACTGCTATCTGTCACACCTTAGGTGGCATCCACTGACCTTCCAAATTAAATGCCGTTGTTAAACCCGGAATCTTCTGAGATTTTAGTATTCTAAGATTTCAGTATTCTCATATTTCACGAGATCACAGAGTTGAGAAAGCAGAGACTGTGTGAGATTTAACAATCTGGATAGATTTCATGTGATTGTTAAAACATTACATGGGAGTAAGGGACAGTGCCTTCCTCTGCTTGTGAAGACACATATATTTGTAGAGCATTCATTGTTGTTTTTGCAAATTAGCTGCTTGCTTTTCCATCAGTCCTTTTTGTTAGTTTATAACAGTAGTGGCGAACCTATGGCATGGGTGCCAGAGGCGGCACTCAGAGCCCTCTCTGTGGGCATGTGCGCTGTCGCCCCAGTCCTAGGCCTTCAGCTGGATTTTATAAAACCTTTTCGCTTTAGGCCTCTGCTGCTGTGTGCAAAAAAAAGAAAAGAAAAAGGTTTAATCAGTTAATTTCAACTTCTTGCAGGGGAAAAAAAAGATCTTGCAAAATTGGAATTGATTGATTGACCCTTTTTTTAGTCTCACCCAGTATGCCATTACCATCGCAGCCATGCCCATCTGGCACTCGACGATGCATAAGTGGGTTTTGGGTTGCAGTTTGGGCATTCGGTCTCTAAAAGTTTCGCCATCACTGGTTTATAATATAAAATACACAAGCAAATAATAGAAAAAAACGGGGAGGGAAAAGGGAAGAGAAAAGTGTAGAGAGGAAGGGAAAAAAAAGAAAAAAAGGTATTGACTTCCAACTCCCTTTACTGCAGTAGAATAAGAAGTAGCATTGAACCTCAATTTTTTGATTTTACATAGTAGTATAAACTAGCCGTTTCCATAACAACAGATCTATCTAATCAGTAAAACCCAAAATCAAAGTTTCATTTTTCCCCCCACCTCAAGCACAAAGTCCAGAAGCGGTTTCCAAGTAGAAACAAAAGTACTTGTGTTGTTTTCTTTTATCAAAGCAGTCAATTTAGCCATCTCTGCTAACTCCATCAACTTTTGCAACCATTCGTCCATTGTGGGAGTTAAATGGTCCTTCCATTTTTGTGCATAAACTAATCTTTTGCTTTCCAAGTCTTTTTCCATTAAGCCCAATAAAATTTTTGGTTTTTATCTTTATATTCACTTTGAGAATCTTCTGTATTAGAATATGAATCCTACTACGATATTTCTTTGTTTTATCACATGTCCACCATAAATGATAAAAAGTCCCTTCTTTACATTGGCATTTCCAACGTTCATTTGAAATACCTTTATACATTCTTGATAACGTACTTGGTGTTAAATACCAGCAATACATCATTTTATAACAATTTTCTTTTAAATTGCAATTTAATATAAATTTTAAACTTTTCGTCCACATATTCTCCCATTGTTCAAACTTTACACTGTATGCAAAGTTCCTTGCCCACTGCTCATCACTACCACACAGTAGGATTTCCAATTCATTTTTGACAGAGTCAAACCCATAGTTCTTTTTGTCTAATTTAAATCTTTCTTTCAGTTGTAAATATATAAACCAGTGGCAGACATGTCCTTCGGAGTCTAGCTCTTCTTTAGACTTGAGGATAGGATCACCAAAATTAAAAGTTATTATTTTACCATAAATCCACCAGATTAGCTGCTTTTTGTAAATGACCTTCATTTACTTGCCATCCTACAGAAATTGTCCACATGTGATTTTCTCTAAGAGCAAAGTCACTGCTGTCCTGCAGACAGTTGAAACAGGAGAGCTAGTGCATCTTCAAGGGAGACTTGGGAGTTTTGCAAAAGAACAAGGAATTTATTATAGTCACAAAGACAAATAAAGCAAACAAAACAAACCAACCTCTCCCCCACTCTTCAAGAGTCAGCCAAAATACGAGCATTCTCAATCAACATCAGCCAAGATTACTTGGAAAAAACAGGCAATGAGTGACAGTTGAGCTGCTTCAGCGTATATCACCTTATTGCCTGGGTGTGCAAATGTGGTGTGCCCCCTACAGATGTTTTCAGCTACAATGCCTATAAGGTAGCCAGCAAGATCCCCTAGCTCAGGGCTAGCATGGCTGGCTCAGGAATTCTGGGAGCTGAAGTCCACGAGTCATAAAAGAGCCAAGGTTGCCTACCCCCGCCCTAGCTTATAATATCTACAAAAGGCATGACCAGCTGGAATCCAGAACAAGAGAATGCCTGATTGAGGGGTAAGGACGCCCCTGTTTCAGATTATGCTGCCTGTCTAGATCAGTGGTTCTCAACCTGTGGGTCGGGACCCCATTTGGGGTCGAACGACCATTTCACGGGGGTCGCCAAACAAGGCTGTCCGCCATTTTTTCCCCCTTTGGCCACGCCCCTGGCACCCGATGATGTATAAGTGGCTGGGGGTCACCACAACATGGGGAACTGTATTATGGGGTCGCGGCATTAGAAAGGTTGAGAACCACTGATCTAGATTCATCAGATGTTGGTTTTCTGTACCCTTCTTTAATTTGGCAGATGTAATTTCTAGAATTCTAAGCCAAGCTGGGCCCAAAGATGAAGCAGGAAATATTTGTAAAGAGAAGATCTTCCATAGAACAGTGCTAAAAAAAAATGGTGCTGAGTTAGGTAATGAGATTGGTGTTTTCTCTCCTCTAGCCACTCCCAGACATTTCTGATTTCTATTTCAATGACATCCCCCCTGTTCCCACTCTGGCAGATGTTGCCTGGATTGCCTCCGATGATGAAGAAACATATGCCAGAGTCAGGTAGGTCCCTACTCCTTTTTCAAACTCTTTCGAACATCCCCAGTGCAGGAATTAAGACATGGTCAGTTTATGTTTCTTCCTAATGTTGTCTTCTTCTCCTAGACTTAAATTGTGTTTTTGTAATTGTTTGTTGGATAGCTTCTCCAAAGCTATCTGTAAAGACCCACCCCACTTTGCATCTTAAGAAGACAGAACTCTTGGAATAATTCTTCCAACAGGAATCCTTTATTAAGAGAAAATGGTTGCAGGCATTCTAGACAGGACTTGGGGTTCAAGCTCTCCCATTCGAGGTTTTAAGGGGTTCCCCGGTAGTCCCACCCAATCACCCCCCTCTTCCAGTGACAGTTTCAGGCATCACAATCCCACCCCTTTTTTTCTTTCTTCCGTCTGGATGGAGACTTCAGATAAACTACATGAAAGGTAAATAGCCTCCTTTGTTATGATAAGGCCTTTTGGTGCTAACCACATTCAAACCCTTTGAAGTTGTACCAAAGGAAGTGAGGGCCATAAAGCCTCTTTGTTCACCCCCCTCTCTTTCTTTATGACAGAATCCAGAGAGGGCAGAAATGGGGTTTTCTATAATTGATAACTGGAGATGAAGTATAATTGGATTCTGACACTATCTTTGTTATCGCATAATTAGACAAGAGAGGATCTTGGGCAGGATGAGGGATGACTATGTGCTTCCATCAGGACTGTCCAGTGGCCCATATTCTGAGGTCAAGAGTTGATTCTGAGTGACTGTGCCTGGCTTGCGTATGGATGACCCCTTGGGAGAATCTTCAACAAATGTATCTTATTCCAGAATCAGCCAGCAGCTGCAGAGGCCAGGAAAAGACATTGCTTTAAGGCAGGGGTTCTCAACCTTGGCCACTTTAAGACTTGTGGACTTCAACTCCCAGAATTCCTCAGCTAGCATGCCTGGCTGAGGAATTCTGGGAGTTGAAGTCCACAAGTCATAAAAGGGCCAAGTTTGAAGACCCCTGCTCTACAGCACATTCTACAACTTTGTTGACTTCTGTTGGTTCAAGGACAAATGCAAAGGCTTCCATATTCCACCTGTTCAGCTGTTTGGTCTTTAAAGTACTCCAAAGAGCTTGTCATAACCAGCTACGCATCAACGAAAACTTTTCCCTCCCACATCTGATGTAATTTCTGCCGAGTATCTGGCTGGGATGCTGGCCAGAAGTAAACAAGAAAGGGAACCAATGTAGCTTTGCCCTGAAATGTCTTCTCCACAGCTACTAAAGTGAAGATACTCTCTTGTTTTGGGACCTCAAGTCACTAAAGCAGGGGTTCTCAACCTTGGCCTCTTTAAGACTTGTGGACTTCAACTCCCAGAATTCCTCAGCCAGCAAAGCTGGCTGAGGAATTCTGGGAATTGAAGTCCACAAGTCTTAAAGTGGCCATAGTTGAGAACCCAGCGCTCCATGCGGTCTGCCACCTACTGCTTCCCTTCAGGCGGCGTTCTCTTTCTGTTTGATAGGCCTCCGTTCTCAAAGCAACTTTGGATAACACTCTTTGGTAGCCTGTGCTACCTCTGAAAACTGTAAAGGCGTGCCCTGTACTCATGCCACTTCCAAAGATCCCAGAGGCTACAGAAGAGCACACCTTATTCTCATGTACTGTCTGCGGCCTCATCCAAGAACGGCGTGTGCTTTTGAGAATAGTTGTTGGGAGCTGGTTAATGCTAGTGTGTCACCCATCTCGTGGTGTGTCACCTTTGATATGTGTGTCATAGGTTCGCCATCACTGATTTATAGGCTCCGTGAAGCAAATGCCCTTTGCACTGCACAGCCCTTCAGTTCAGGCTAGCTGTTTCTTCTTGATCAAGGTCAGTTTCACTGAATGTTGGGTTCTTGACTTCTAGGACAGACACACGTCCACTGAAGCACAGATGGAAACCTACTCCATTCTTTGTTATTCAGCGGAATGCTTCGGTCCCAAATTTGAGAAAGCAAGAAGAAAAATTGTTGGCTCTGAAGAAGCCATGTTTACCTGCCTTGAGTCGGACCACAGAACTCCAGGAAGAATTGAGTCACCTGCGGAGTCAGATCGCTAAAATTGTTGCTGGAGATTCAGGTAAACGTCCAGCAACTCAGTATTGAAAACCTCATACCAAGAATTAAAAGCGAGCCAAAATGTCTACACTTTACAGATAGTCCTTGATTTGCAACCGTTCATTTGGTGACTTTGAAGTTGCAAAGTCAATGAAAAAGTGACTTATGTCCAGTCCTTGCACTTACGAACATCCCCACAGTCGCGTTATTGAAATTCAGGCCTTTGGCACCCCTGCATGTTATTTACAACAGATGCACCATCCTGGGGTCATGTGTTTAGTTTAATCTGCAACATTTCTGTGTTCAACAAGACTGTTTTACCTCTGCATCCTCTTGTAATTTAAGAACCAATTTACTGTCTGCCACTAATTTAGAGATTGAACTCAGTGGGATTAACCTGTCATGTATAAACTATTGCAGCGTATTTTAAAGTTTATACTCTTTTATGGTCTCTCTCCTCTTTGGAGACGCTGTGGTCTGGGCCTGGAATAATTACAGCAGCCTTGTTATTTAAAAATTTATCTAGTTGGCTGCTGGTGGTGAGAGGCCTCGTGCAGGCACGTGAGTGGGTTGGCACGACAGAGATGATGCTGGGTTCCTGTCTTGCCAGTCTGTTTAGTGTCTGTGCCAACTTAACTGCCTCTGAGGTCAAAATCTATTGTTGTTGTTAATTGCAAAGTCGTGTCCGACCCATCGCGATCCCATGGACAATGTTCCTCCAGGTCTTCCTGTCCTCTACCATCTTCAAAATCTATACTGGAGTTATTAAACCCTCTTAGCTAATCATATCACTGCCCTCTTACCTGGGATTTAACTTACAACTTGCTTATCCATTTGAAAGCAGAAAACGTGAAAGAACGGAGAAACAACTAGTATGTTTAATGCAGCTGTAATGCAGTTACTACAAACAGCCTGTCAAGCAAAAGAGTCTGTGGAACCTTGGTTCTTCTATTTTTATGCCCGTTTTGACAGCTTGTTCTTGAATCCCGTGTGGCCTGCAAGTGTTGCTTTTCTAGGCTGAAAGATGGGCTATCCTGGTTCCAAAAATTATTATAAAATATTTTCTTGCTCTTGTGTAGAGGCTGTTAAAACAAGCTATGAGAAGAAACTGCTTCTAGCATGCAAAGCAGGCAGTCCTAGTTTTTACTTGGGGAAAAAAAACCTCTTACATGTCTCTGCCTATCTGGGGCTGATAACTAGCTCCTGTTGACCTTGTGAGATTGGAACCATAGACTCTGGATTAGTGTTCTTCAGTCTCAACAACTTTTAAGACCCATGAACTTCAACTCCCAGAATTCCACACATCTTAAATTTGCTGAGGTTGAGAAACACGCTCTACATACCAACTGTCACATAATGACAGTTCGAAGTTACAATGGACTCGAAAAATGGTTTTCTTATAACCCATCCTCAAAGCTAGGATCGCTGCACCATCTCCATGGCTGCGTGATCACATTTTGGGCATTTGATAACCAGCTTGCACGTATGACCAATTGCAGTGCTGCAGGGTCACGTGATCGCATAGAATGACATTGCCATTTTCCAGCAAAAAAAAAAAAATGTCCATTGGATAAAATAGCTTCACACAACCACATGGTTCACTTAAACGATCACAATATCGTTTTAACAATCATCATAAAAACAGGTGTAAAATCAAAGCAGGTCATGTGGCACCTGATCCAAAATTGTGGGCCCATCTCTGGTCGCAAGTTGAGGAATACTGTAGATATTGAAAGCATTTCTGTTTAGGAGTTGCTCAATATAATAGGAAAGCATGGGGTGGAAAGGATCTGTAACCCTTCTGTTGCATTATTGGGAGCTGTTGAGGAAAGGGGGGGTGGTATAATGCTGTTGGTGAAGAGATCAACCAAGGCAAGTGCTGCAAGAGAAGCTATGTAAGAGCCGTGGTGGCACAGTGGTTAGAATGCAGTATCGCAAGCTAATTCAGTGCTGACTGTCAGGAGTTCGATTTTGACCGGTTCAGGGTTGATTCAGCCTTCCATCCTTTTGAGGTTGATAAAATGAGGATCCAGATTGTTGGAGGCAATGTCCTGACTCTAACCCGCTGAAGCAGTATATAAGTCTAAGTCAGTGGTTCTCAACCTATGGGTCGCGAGCCCATTTGGGGTCGAATGACCATTTCACGGGGGTCACCAAACAACGCAGTCCGCCAATTTTTTCCCCCCTTTTCCTTAGCTGTGCTACTCCCCTTTATTCTATTGGCTTTGGAAAGCCAATAGAATAGACTCTCTTGAATAGAGTCTAATTCTATTGGCTTTCAAAAGCCCATAGGAATTGTCCAGGCTGTCTCTGCCCTGCTGACCCTGCCAAAAGTCCCATTCTGCAAACGGTGCTGCACCAGTTGAGTAGTCCTCAACTTATGACCGGTTGAGTAGTCTTCGACTTATGACCAGTTGGGGGGGGGGTCACGGCATTAAAAAGGTTGAGAACCGCTGGTCTAAGTGCTATTGCTTTGCAAGAACAAAACCCCTGATATGGCAGCCAGTTCATGTCTCCTTACGTTGTTTTTTTTTTCAGCTTCCTCTTCATTAACGCCAGAATTATTATCTCCAGGAAGTTCAAACGTGTCTTCTCCCTTGCCCTGCTTTGGACCCGCATTCCAGTCTACAACTTCCTTTGTCATTAGTGACATCACAGAAGAGGAGGCTGACTTAGACAGTCCCGAACTTCCATCCGTTTCCATGCTTTGCTCTGCAGCTTCTGAATGTTGCAAAACCGACCCAAAGGATTCGGACGACGACGACACGATGTCTCTCTCAAAGGCCAGTAGCTTTGCAGATATGATGGGCATTCTGAAAGACATTCATAGAATGAAACAGAACAAAGACTCGTAAGTCCTTTTCTTTGAATTTGTACCCAATTTTTTGGAAGCATATAATAATAGTAGTAAAGTTGGAAGGGACCTTGGAGGTCATCTAGTCCAACGCCCCTGCTCAGGCAGGAAACCCTATACCATCTTTGTTGCTCTTCTCTGTACTCTTTCTAGAGTCTCAACAACTTTTTTACATCGTGGTGACCAAAACTGGATGCAGTATTCCAAGTGTGGCCTTACCAAGGCCTTGAAAAGTGATATTAAAACTTCACGTGATCTTGATTCTATCCCTCAATATATTAGTCCAAACAGTGAATTGCGTGTGAAGCACTGTGCCTTAATTTCCAAAGCAGTAGCTAATCCAGATCATAGTATGGCTGCGTTCACACAACACTTGAACCTGGATGTCAAGATTAATCCATTTTCTGAGCCTGCACAAATGCATCACCTCACACAAGTTAACCAAATGAGCAGAGTTGCCCAATGTGCTGAACTGCACCAATAGAGTTAAATTAGACCAGCGTAGTATATCCCACACCAGCTGATCAGTTTCACTTTGGCCTAGCGTAGTGATAAGTAGGCATTAACGTAGTAACTGGCTGCTAATTTTACCCTTCCACGCAACCCTGATTGTTATGACACCCTTATGTGTGATCCAAGTGAAGATCAGATTATTTAAGGACAGACCACTTAATGAAGGAGTGTAGATGTTTCTCCTGTTGATGATGACATTAGGAAGGACAGATACCTACCAGATTAAAAGGAACATTTGGTTCAATATTATAGCTCTTGGGTTTAGAGTGGGTTTCCTTAATCTCAACTTCTGATCTTTCAAAATGGCCCATAGATAGTCCTTGATTTACAACTAGCCAGTTAGCATCATTCGAAGTTCTGATACATCCCCCAAAAGGTACTTACAACCCAGTTCCAAAGTTCTGATGCGCCACACAAACACATACCCCTGCGGTCAGATGCACTTTAGGTGCTGACCTACATTTACAGCTGTGTGCAGAATCCCACAATCATGTGACCAGATTTTACAACATTTTTGCTGAAAATTGGCTCCATTATGGTGGTAAGTCAAGGACTATCTGTAATGTATGGAGCAAAACAGAACTGAAGGAAGGGTGGAGTTCTTTGGAAGCTTTTCCATAATATTAGAGCTTAACATCAATTGTATTTTAAATTCTCCTGGCACCTTCTAATGTGCTCCTCCATTGGGATTCTTGTTCTTAGCTCAAGTTAATTAAACTGGTAAACAGAATTATCTCAGTATCAGGGGAAAGCAGCATGAAAACTAGAGCTGGAACAGATGTGAGAAACACATTATAAATAAGAGAGCTCACATTTAAATAGGCTTAATTCCAAACCCCCATGTCAGTCTTTTAGTAGTGAAATTGATTTCCTGGGAGTTGAAATCCACGGGTATAATAATAATAATAATAATAATAATAATAATAATAATAATAATAATAATAATAAAGTTGGAAGGGACCTTGGAGGTCATCTGGTCCAATCCCCTACTCAGGTAGGAAACCCTATACCATTTCAGATAGATGGCCATCCAGTCTCTTCTTAAAAATTTCCAGTGTTGAAGCATTCACCGCTTCTGGAGGCAGGTTGTTCCACTGGTTAATTGTTCTAACTGTCAGGAAGTTTCTCTTTAGTTCCAGGTTGCTTCTCTCCTTGGTTAGTTTCCACCCGTTGCTTCTTGTCCTGCCTTCAGGCGCTTTGGAGAATAGCTTGGCTCCCTCTTTTTTGGGGCAGCCCCTGAGATATTGGAACGCTGCTATCATGTCACCCCTCGTCCTTCTCTTTATTAGACTACAGACATACCCAATTCCAGCAGCCTTTCCTTATGTTTTAGCCTCCAGTCCCTTGATCATCTTTGTTCTCTGTACTCTTTCTAGAGTCTCAGCATCTTTTTTTACAGAGTTTTCACCATATTGTTTTGTGGTTTTGGATTTTAGGGCGATGTATTTTTTTGTGGCCATTGACCATAAATATTCCATTTGGGAGCCTAGGGGCTTGCCTCAGCCTGGGTCAGTTAGTTGGGCTTGGTTGGCCAGTCTACATCATTGGCAGCCTAAATTACCTTGCTCTGAACACCACTCCCCAGGAGCCCCTTCCCACATTCATGTTCCACTCTATGGTGGGTCAAGGGCAGCAAAGAGGCAAGGCTTCTGGGATGATACGGGAAGAGGAAAAGTCTCTGCTGGACAATGAAAAGGAAAGACTGTTGCAGGCAAGAAAGTAGGGAAGGGAAAGCTGACACGGGAATTCTGGGAGTTGAAATCCACAGGTCCTAAAGTTGCCGGTGTTGAGAAACACTGATCTAAGTGGTGTTTGTAGATCATACCATCTTAGCTATGATCTTGGAAAAAAAATAAACCACTCTGGTAATAAAATAGTTTGATGAAAAAGCTGCCAGCTTATTTTAGAATGTTAATAAATATTTTAGAATGTTGGTAAATAATTCAGGAACTACTGCAGCTTATGAAAAATCTGCCCATGCTCTTATGTAACATCCTTCATCTTCTCTCTTCCTTTTAGGAACAGAAGTATACTGAAAGAAGAGGATCCTGCGATTCTTATAGCCGAAGTTTTAAGGAGGAAATTTGCTTTGAAAGATGAAGATGTAAATATGAAAAAGAACTGACAAGTTATATTCATTTCTTATGTTAGTATGCTTCTCAAAAATTTTTCTCTACAGTGGTTGCCTTCCTTGAACATTAAATATCCTTTAGGGGTTAGGCTTCCTGTGTGCTTTTGTGCAAAAGGAATACACTAAGCGAGAGAAACTGACATTTTGCTGGGTTTTTTTTTTCCACACAGCCAAACGATACAACTTTTTTTTTAAAGGAAAAACTTTTCCACATTCTGAACTGAAGCAGTGAGTACGGATTCATTTAAAGTAGGAATTATCAGTGATGATTTTCGTTTAAAAAAAATCATTTCGTAGCCTTGCTACAGATCTGAAGCCTGTGAATACTGAAACTGTTTGAGTCCCAAGATTTGTTTTGCAAAGGTAGATTTCTGAACAGTTCCTATTTTATGCAGCCTCTTCACAACCAACATCCTTCAAACAACAGAGGTATAGTTGACTAAAGATGTAATCAAGTGTCTAAATCTAAGCATTGAATTTAAAATCTGTTTGCTGATGATATACTAAAGCTATGCAGCAGTGCAGATTTGAAAGTACACTTAGAGTCCACCTGTCAACACCACCTTGAAGCAAATACATCTACAGCAGTGATTCTCAACCTGTGGGTCGGGACCCCATTTGGGGTCGAACGACCATTTCACGGGGGTCTCTGTCCGCCATTTTTTTCCCCTTTTCTTTGGCCACGCCCCTGGCACTCAGTGATGTATAAGTGGTTGGGGGTCACCACAACATGGGGAACTGTATTATGGGGTCGCGGCATTAGAAAGGTTGAGAACCACTGATCTACGGAGTTGCTGGCGCATGTGTGAAGCCCACCTATGTGCGCTCCGAAGTATCTTTACCCCTTTGAATTCAGGCTGCTACCCAGTCTTGTAATTCAGCTCTTGAAAGCTAAAATTCCTATATTTTTTATTTGTTGACACAAAACACAGAATCTGCATGCTTTGCTCTTTGCTTTAAGCTCAGGGTCAAGCAGGTGGAATTAACACAAATGGAAGAATAGCACGTGGTCAAGTTTCTAGTGGGAGGGCACCAAATCGCCTGTGAATTTGATAAGATACTTTAGCACTGGGGATGGTCAGGACAATTCAAGAATGGCTTGGTCTTTTGTGCTGGCAAAAACCAAGAACCCTCAAAGGAACCCCTCAGTTGCCCTCCCATCCAAGAATTTGCAAAACAACTCCTTGGACTCTTCTGTAGCATCAGGCCATGGGTAAAGCAATTGGGAGATCTTTTCTAGTGCTTGTCTGCATGTTTAAAATTATTGCCACTAACAATAACCTTTCAGAACCTTTGCAAAAGTGTGGAAAAGTTTTTGCAGTATATTTTCAAAGCCTTTTGAGCACCGGCTGATCCTTTGTCAGCAGCAATTGTAGCATGATTGTTTCTGATGCTGCCACTTGTTATGTAGGGGAACCATTTTGGTTTAAATCACTAACTTCAACCCTCAGGGAATTTATATCACTCTCTTTCCCATGGCGCACAAAACAAGTTTCCACCCATTCTTTTCCCACTCTTAATATTCTGTCAAGCTATTTAAAAATATTGTAAAGCCAGATGTAGACAGCCTGGTACTTTCCTGCCATTTTGGGCTGCAGTTCCCCAAAGCACTTGCCGTTAGCCTGAGGTTCAGGCTGATTGGCATTCAAATCCAAAGCCTTTGTGGAGAGCATCAGGTGTTCATTGGGGCAGAACAACTGTGAGTTCTGTTCAGACTCATTGGAGTTCTTTGTAAACATACAAACTGGTGGACTAGTCTTAAACGTTGCCTAAAGGGGCACAAGGAAGTAGACCCATCTTTGCAGGCTTGATCTTGTGGAAGTTGTATGAATCAGGTGTACTAGCTGTGCAACCAGGCAGGTCTGCTGTTTTTTTTTTTTAACAAAAAGCACCTTCTCCCCACCCTCCATTTTGAGGCGGCGAGCACTGGTCAGCAATACCAACTTTTAAACGGTGCTGTGGCTGATGGGTCTAGCTTAAACCCATCTTAGCCAAACTTTAAGCTACCTGAATTGAAAGCTAGTCGACTCTGATCTCGTGGAACAATTCTAGAGCAGCCTGACGTCTTTCTAGAACACCAGGATAAAGCTTGCATTCCTCCATTTCTTTTATTAGCTCACACATCTGAAGAAAGCATGTTGAGCAAAACAGATTTAACTATGCGACACACAGCCATAGGCAGTATACAGAAGGGTCCTTTAAGCCAGGTTTGTTTTGAAAGGAGGCACTGAGCCCAGTTTATCTCACAGAGCAATTACGATTTAGTGTTTAATGACTTTATTGCCTTCTGAATCCTCTGTGAATAGCAAGTCATAACATGACTTTTCACTCCGTTCTGCCAGAGGAGAAAAGCTCCTGCCCAGGGACCCAGGGGGGCTACTGTCTCCAGCCCAACCATCTCTAAAGCAGCTCTTATTATTGAAGGAGCTTCTTACGGGGGTCCTTTTGCCCCACATGAGCTCCTTTGGTGAGGACCGTTTGCTTTCTTCTCCATAGCGGTGCGAAATTACTCTGTAGCCCTCGGAGTCCTGTGTGAACAGCCGCTGCGTTGAAGCTAGGGAGCTGTTCTCATAGCTAACGGCATCCGAATAGTTTCTACAGAATCCAGATGTGGTTTGGTTGAAATCCCTCAAATGTGCCGCTCCCGCTAGGTTTTCTTCCGGGTCAGGATCCATATTTTCAGAGTCAGAGTCGTCCACAAAGGTAACGCCTGCCCTAGAGGAGAGGGGTCTGCGCCGTTTCCCTGCAGTCCTTCTTTGGTTCGGGATTATTTTAAAACTTGGGCTTCTCCGAGAGAACAAAGCGGGTCTCTCTTCTCTTTGCCAGCCACCGTTCTTCTCTTTCAGAGGGGACACAGGGACCCCTGGCGGCTGAAGGCCCCCCTTTACTCCCAGGTGCTGAATGAGATCTGTAGTTAGACAGGCCTCCCCGTCCGTTACGGCGTCTTCCTCCCTAGCAACTCGGAGGGTGCTGGTCTGGCTCCGGGCTTGAGCAGGGAGAGAACGGCCAAGGAAAAGACGGGAGGCGTTTGGCGGCTTTGCAGATTGTGTTTGGCAGTCTTGCAGGCCTGATGGTTGAAGGACAGAAGCCGGGGCTGTGGTCCTTTTCCCTCTAAGCAGTTCAGAGCCTTCTAGGTGGACAATGTTGTTTGACGCCGAAGTCACCAACTCTTTGTTTTGGTCTGTGTTCTTTTCCCCTGCCAAAAACAATGGAATCCGAATCAGCCAGAGGTCAACGACACAGCCTTTATATAGCTTAGCAGTCTTAGGCTGGTGCAGCTCTTTTACTTCAGGAGCCGGATACATATGTGACTGAGGAGAAAAAAAATGCTATAACTCCAAAATGCTGTTCTTAGGAGAGGTTCACGCTCCATCTCTCAAGAGTCTACCTGAATCTAAGGGATCAGATGTTCTCCCTACTAGTCAGAGGCCCTGCCCTGGGAGGAGATCCCATCTCCCTCTTTGATTTACTGTGGCTTTCAGAAGCTTTGCCAAGACATGGACTTAGGCAGGACCGTGGGTGATCTGAAGCTTGTGTAGGAGGGGAGAATCATTTAATTCAGGAAAAAAATGTGCCTTAGCCTCCGTGTTTAAAATAAAAGTTTTGGGGATATGTTTGTTGTTGCAAAAACCTGTCTGGCTAACCAGAGAAAAAGATAATACAAATACTGATCAGGCTCTTGTTCTGACTAGTGCAGGGGTAGGCAACCTCGGCTCTTTTATGACTCATGGACATCAACTCACAGAATTCCTGAGCCAGCATAGCTGGCTCAGGAATTCTTGGAGTTGAAGTCCATGAGTCATAAAAGAGCCAAGGTTGCCTACCCCTGCACTAGTTTGAACTAGTGCTATGCCTGAATGGTCAACCTGTCTTTCTTAATAGGTCTCAATTATTCCCTCTGTTGCTCCTCTTTGGAATTGAAAGAAACAACCAACCAAGAACTGTTACCTAAAGAAAAGACTTGAGAGAGAAAAAAAAAACTTCAAAAGTTGCTGCTTTCCTCAATTACCTTTCCCCTAGTTTTTGAAGTGATGAAGAAGTAGTAGTGAAACAGGAGTTGTCACATATCTTCCACACCTTTTAGTAGTATTAATGCAATGGAGAGACAAAAGTTTTTTGGGTGACATTGTGAGTTTTGTATGTCTTTGCAGTGAAGAGTGCAATGGAAGTAGCAAATAATAAATCCTCTTATACAGAGCTCTGCAGATCTATGTGCAACTTATTTGAACTTACGACTATGTAGCCTTGAAAATGTGCAATTGACTGTAGCTGCTAAAATATCTGGGATGAAAAAGATGACCGCTAGATGGCACTAAAAGGTTTACCTTATCTTTTTGCTGCCATCTACTGGTGGGGCTTTTGTGCAACCCTTATATCAGCGGCTCCCAACCTTTCCTATACTCTGCACCCCTAGAACACTTCTGATATATTCTCACACCCCTTACAAAAGTTCGAAATAACGGCAACAAATTATGCATACACATTATAATTTTGAAAACCCAAGTTTTCGCACCCCCCTGGAATATCATCTCAAACCCCTACGGGGTGCAAGTACCCCTGGTTAGGAACTCCTGCCTTATATTTGGAGAGCTAGTTCATGAGCTTCCTCACCTCTCCCCACTTCTCAGAAGCAAACTGCAGTATTTCTCAAGTAATGGGGAGCTGGAGGAGTGGGGTGGTTGGATGCTGTGCAGCTTCTGACTTTGTTTACAGCCGTAGGAAACCATTACATGAAATTTTCAGGAGTTAAGGCTGGGAATATAATTTCCTGCCAGGACAAAGATTCTGTCAGGCAAACTGTTTCAATTGCCGCCTTTAAACTCCAAAATGTGGCCCCAATGTGGAAACGTGGCCAGTAGCTTCCAAGCATCAGCAGAGCGATAGCCTGCATCCCCCCATCTGCCTGGTACTTGGATAACAGACCAAGAATCCTTCATGCCAATTCAGCCCCCCATAACCGGCAACTTTTCCAAGTTGAGACACTGCAGAGACACCTCTGGGCAGGGTCTATGACGGGTAGGCCACCTTGGCTCTTTTCTGACTGGTGGACTTCAACTCCCAGAATTCCTGAGCCAGCCACGCTGAGGGAGAAGGGAGCGGTTTCCAAGCTGAGCCATGCTGGCTCAGGAATTCTGGGAGTTGAAGTCCACCAGTCAGAAAAGAGCCAAGGTTGCCTACCCCTGCCTAGGCCTAGGCCACTTTATGACTGGTGGACTTCAACTCCCAGAATTCCTGAGTCAGCTACGCTGAGGGGAAAGGGAGAGGTTTCCAAGCTGAGCCATGCTGCCTCAGGAATTCTGGGAGTTGAAGTCCACGAGTCATAAAAGAGCCAAGGTTGCCTACCCCTGGTTGATGACAATTCACCACAGCCAACTTGCCACGGGACAACTCACCACAGGACAAGAGTTACACTAATATCAAAGAAATGGTGAAATAGAATAATTAAAGGATGCAAAACAAAGGACAGAATAAAATGTGAATGACAAAAATTAAAATATTTTTTATTTTAAATAATTGAATTGTTACATTGTCCTGCGGCGAGTTGTCCCACAGTGAGATGGCTACGGCGAGTTGTCCCATTCTGCATCTGGCAAGGCAGAGGCCCCACATATAAGTCCTCCTTGTATTAATGGGGAGATTAAACTGGGCAGGTGGGAGGGCTACATTTCCCAGAGACCCATCACTGCCATTTCTGCCTCATTTTAACAGGAATCCAGACGTTGTCTGCTGTTGGAGCAGCATATAAAGAAATGGAATTTCTACCAGCTTAGATAGCATGTACTAAATCCTATTCAAATTATAATGGAGAGTTTACATTGTGCTAAGCCACTGTTCATTGTAACCATAGTGGCATTCCAGAATTTGACAGACTACATGATGGCTTAGCATACCATGTAACTCCACAATGAAAAGAGGATGGCCATGTTCTCCCAGTCCCCTTTGGGGCTATCAGTGTGTAGCCCTCACTATATTTGTACACAGATGAGAAATGTTTATTTCAATTAAGCCTAAAGTGTTTTACTTCCAAAGCCTGAACAATTTCATACATGTACAGTCTCCTCTTCCCCAGAAACAAAATAAAACAAATGGTGGATTTTTTTTACTGGAGGATTTTGGAGAGAAAAATTTGTGTTCTGGAATCCTCATTTTACCCAGCATAGTTACAAACCTACAAGCTGCATTTACATAATACGGGTAGACTGGATTTGTCAGTTGTGACTTAGCAAAGAACTTCAGCCATTTGGTCTGTTGATGTTACAGTGCAATGTGCATAATATGTCAAGATTGGCAATTATTTCTGCAAAGACAATTCTCTTCCCATGTCATGAGTATCTTAAAATTGGGGGGGGGGAAAAACCAGACTGTACCTGCTTTCTGAGCAGTGAAGAAAGTAGAAATAGTGGTTTGTTTAGTGCCTGGATGAAGCCCATTTACTGAAGCAGAATGAGAGTACTGACCCAGGAGAGTTAAGGCTGACTTAGTGACAACATTCTAGATGGAACAAAACAAAGAATTAAGAGCAACTGTCCTTGTGCATCACGTTTAGCATATTGCATACACTGCTTAATTCCCAAACCCTACATTAATAGTCATTTACTCATATAAAACCAATTTGAACAGCATCTGCAAGCAGAACCTGCAACAAATAATCACAGGATGATTTCCTCTATTGCAGTGGTTCTCAACCTTTTTAATGCCGTGACCCCCAACCAGTCGTAAGTCGAGGACTACTCAACTGGTGCAGCACCGTTTGCAGAATGGGACTTTTGGCGGGCTCAGCAGGGCAGAGGCAGCCTGGACAATTCCTATTGGCTTTTGAAAGCCAATAGAATTAGACTCTATTCAAGAGAGTCTATTCTATTGGCTTTCAAAAGCCAATAGAATAAAAGGGAGTAGCATAGCTAAGGAAAAGGGGGAAAAAATGACAGACTGCGTTGTTTGGCGACCCCCGTGAAATGGTTGTTCGACCCCATATGGGGTCCCGACCCACAGGTTGAGAACCACTGCTCTATTGACAGGAGTGTTCCTGATCAGAAAACTTTCCTGGGGCAATCATATCTTCTTTTTCAAAATGTTATCAGCCTATGACTAATCTTCCTCCCAGCATGTTTGTGCAATGTGTAATCAGTAATCAAAATAAACTGATGTTTTTTCAACTACAGGTAGTCCTCGTGACTATAATGGAGCATGCCCAGCATGGTCATCACTCACAATGGTCGTAAAGTGACTCAGTCACGTGACTGATCTAATTTTACCACTTTTTTTGCAGCATTTGTTAAACAAATCACGGTTGTTAAACAAACCAGTAGTTTGCTATGAGCAAGGTTTTGCTGAAAAGAATGGCCAGTTTTCAGCAAACTGTCATAAAATGTAGTCATTTGACCATGGGATCTTGCCAAGAGTTGTAAATGCAGTCTAGCTAATGAACCCTTGAAGTATAGTGACCACAACTCCCCCACCCCCCCTGCGACCATCCATCGTAACTTCAAATCTGGGTCATTTCAAATGGTTGCTAAGCAACCAATCGAGAAACTACCTGCATGGCACCATAATGCTGGTATTTAATACTATGTTAAATGTGACTTCAAGGCATCTTTCCAGAGGTTCTAAGCTGCCATTCTCAGCAAAATCGAACTAAGATACGATTAATAATATGTCTGATCTAAACTCAATTGTGGACTTTGTAGGTGTTGCCAATCTATTCATCTCCTCAGATTTCCTGTTTGATACAGTATTCCAGGGTAGATACTGGCTAAGTCTGTGCATCCTAAATCATGGTTAGCTTAACCATCATTGAGATAACATTTACCATCATTTTTTTACTATGAGCCCACATTAAAAATGAAATCACAATGATCTGGTTTCATGCCCAATTTATGCTAAATTATAAATCATAGTATCAATCAGGTAAGTTCACCCAATACATTAACCCCCAAACAAGCAAACCATCATGGCTTAGTTTGTATGAACCAGGCCACAAAGGGCTCCTGTGTCTGAGGGCCTGGAAAGATGACAGGTTTCAGATTACCTGCACAATGAAATCTCTCATGTTATATTACTGTTCAGCTTTAACAATGCATGAAATAAACTACCTTAGTACATTAGAGCCAGTTTGGTTTAGTGGTTAAGACAGCAGGCTAGAAACCAGGATGCAGTGAGTTCTAGTCCCACCTTAGGCATGAAAGCCATCTGGATGATTTTGGGCCAATCACCAGGAGAGGGAGCATTCTAGTCTGCCTTAGAGATGAAAGCAGGCTGGTTGCCTCCAGCCCAATCCAACACACCTCACCGAGTTATTGTGGGGGAAATAGGAAGAGGGAGAAGTATATATTCACCCCCTTGAATTATTTATAAAAAATAAAGGTGGGGCTCTGCTTATTTGAAGGATCATACACGAGAAAGATATATTATTGTATGGAGAAGATGGATAGATTATATTCAGAAAAAATATGGTACTTTAAAGTTTCATTTATTTTATGAGTAAATTTTATAGTAATTGTTGTAGAGATTTGTTTATATGTCTTAATTTAAGGGGAGTTAAAGGTTAAGTATGATTTTTTTTCTTTTTTTCCCTTTTTTTATTATTGTTAACCTTATTAATAACCCTGTACTCTGCTCTGGGAAGCGAGGGGGGGAGGGTTGAGGGTGGGTGGGTGGGTAATGATAATATAGTCATGGCAAATGCTTGGGTATTCCCCCTATGCTGCGTTCATGTGTGTGAGAGGGATGAGAGGGGAGGAAGGAGTAGGGAGGAAGTAGGATGGTTAGAGGAGATGGGGAGGGGAAGAGAGTAGGAGGGGAGGAGAGAAAGAGGGAAGTAGGAAAGGTTTAGAGAGGGTGGACGCAGCCTGGGGGGAATGGGCAGGCAGTACCAATGGTTAATTGTATTTTGTATGAATAAATGGAAAATAAAAACTTTTTTAACAAAAAAAATAAAATAAAGGTGGGGTATAAATAAATTGCCACCACCTTGCGTCTTTTGAGCGCTGAAGGATCCAGCCAGACGTCACAAGACTCCTGCTGTTTCCCAGTACAGCTTCCGCCTTTCCGCTTCATTTTCTGCCTTCAGATGACATGAAATATCCTTCAGCATGAAAACAGAGAAGATGCAAATTAGGCAACACTTCAAAATATATCCTAAAAGTTTTGAAGCTTGGAAGGACGTTATGAGCAAAAAAAACCAGAGTGCAAATGGAAGAAACCCAACTGACTAAAGTTTGTTGTGCTGAAATGTCCAAGAATATTAACCAATTTGTAATTGCAACGGCCTCGTAGGCTTTGAGTGTGCTCATATTAAGGCTACCTTTGCACAGCTTTGCTACCAAATAATTTGGTCATCAAATTAACTCACCCATTTGCACATATATCCAACCATAAAGTAATCAAGACTGACTTGATTTGCACAAAAAAAATCCCATTTAAAAATCATAATTAAAACTAAAGGAGAGTATGATGTACTAATACATCTATTATACATGTAACTGATATGATTGAGCCTCGTGAAGCCAGATTAATAATCTATTGTTTTACTTAGATTGCTTTTCCATTTTTCCAGATTCAATATATTTGCACTTCAAATTCCCAAAAATTAGGCTAGGCATTACATTAAGTATACTTATAATCATTATGATGGAATGAGGATTTGAACCCATCTCTCTCTGGTCTTAGTCCAACAGTCTACATTCTTCAGCAGCCCAATCCTGCTTTAAGATGATGCAAGTTATAGGACTTGCAAAATTCTGGAACATTTGCACACATCGTTCCTCAGCAAACCCTTGTAGTCATTTTGATCTTTTAAAGCACTACTGTACTCTTTCAGCAATTTACAATTGTATATAAGCATCACAAAAACAGAACTAAAAATAAAATACCAGTAACATCCACAGCCAAAGAACAGAATAACTTAATACAGTGGTTCTCAGCCTGTGGGTCGGGACCCCATTTGGGGTTGAACGATCATTTCACGGGGGTCGCCAAACAACGCAGTCCGCCATTTTTTTCCCCTTTTCCTTAGCTGTGCCACTCCCTTTTATTCTATTGGCTTTTGAAAGCCAATAGAATAGACTCTCTTGAATAGAGTCTAATTCTATTGCCTTTCAAAAGCCAATAGGAATTGTCCAAGCTGTCTCTGCCCTGCTGAGCCCGCCAAAAGTCCCATTCTGCAAACGGTGCTGCACCAGTTGAGTAGTCCTCGACTTACGACCGGTTGAGTAGTCCTCGACTTACGACCTGTTGGGGGTTGCGGCATTAAAAGGGTTGAGAACCACTGGACTAGAAGGTCAAGACTCCGTGGCACCCTGCTCAATTCCAAATGACAGTACTGACAAGGATCAATCATACTTTACCTGGCAGCAATATAGCACCTTCTTCGTTTTTCAACTCCCCAAATACTCCACAGCCCCAGAATCTCCTGGTGGTCTCCCAGCCAGACACTAACCAGGCCCCAACTGCTCAGCTTTTGACAGCAGCTCAAAGCAAGCCTGCTCGCACGTTTTTACACACACCCCACAACAGGAAAGGGGAGGCAGGCCACACTCCAGTTTTACAAGGAGTCTCCGCAGCACAGCCCCAAACGCCTTCTGCCAGGAACTGCCCTCTTTCTAAGAGGCTACAAACGCGCCTCTCCGTCCAAAGGGACCTGCGTGGTTGGGTGGGGAACCCGCGGTCGCGTTCTCAAGACAGCAACTCTCATTGAAACGAAGGGCTTGCGGGCTTAGCTGCCCCTTACCAGCCTCCTCTTCCTCCAGGTAAGGCTCTCAAGTTCCGGGAACTCTGAAAAGAGGCTTCCGCGTTCCAGGTCCGTATTTCCCGCCATCCTGGCCCCTCCTTCTAGTTATAAACTGCCCAATGGGAGAAGCAGTCGCCGATTCACCACGCCCTTCTTGGCTTTCTCGGGGCGGTATCAGTCAGGGGCGGAGTCGGCCTGGGGAAGAGCCCGTCCCGTTCAGTTCCCGTTTGCGCGTGCGCGTTCGCTGCCTTGAAAGCGGGGTCGCTTGCACAGAAGTGAATAGAATAGAATAGGATAGAATAGAATAGAATAGAATAGAATAGAAGGGACCTTGGAGGTCTTCTAGTCCAGCCCCTTGCTCAAGCAGGAGACCCTATAGCATTTCAGACAAGTGGCTGTCCAGTCTCTTCATAAAAACTTCCAGTGTTGGAGCATTCACTGCTCCTGGAGGCAGGCTGTTCCACTGGTTAATCGTTCTCACTGTCAGGAAGTTTCTCCTTAGTTCCAGGTTGCTTCTCTCCTTGATCAGTTTCCATCCATTCGTTCTCGTCCTGCCCTCAGGTGCTTTGGAGAATAGCTTGACTCCCTCTTCTTTGGGGCAGCCCCTGAGATATTGGAACACTGCTATCCTGTCCCCCCTTGTCCTTCTCTTCGTTAAACTAGACATACCCAATCTATACCCATGACACTGGATGTAGTTGTGTGTTATTTCTGTTCTCTGCATATTTCACGAAGTGGGCTGGTTTGTTTATCCTACTCCACATTTATGCTACGCTGTCTTTCTTTTTGAAATATTTTACTCATTTCTTTTAATTAAACGTTTTTTAAAATGGCATCAATATACACACCCAGCTCTGTCTCCCAGTGTTTAAGCTGCAGTTTTATATGGGTAATCCTTGCAACCATTTGTTTAGTGACTGAAGTTACAACAGCAGTGAAAAAAGTGACTTATGGTTTTCACACTTACAACTCTAGTGGCCTCCCCATGGTTATGTGATCAAAATTTGGGCACTTGGCAACTGGGATGTATTTATGACAGTTGCACCGTCTTGGGCCATGTGATCACCATTTATAACCTTCCCATCTGACTTCTGACAAGCAAAGTAATTGGGAGAAGTCAGATTTGCTTAATGGCCATATGATTCATTTAACACTGCAGTAATTCACTTACAACTGTGGTAAAAAGGTCATAAAATGGGGTGCAACTGACTTAACTGCCTTGCTTAGCAACAGAAATTTTCAGCTCCGTTGTGGATGTAATTCGAGGACTATAGTTCCAACAGTTAGAACAATTAACCAGTGGAACAACCTGCCTCCAGAAGCGGTGAATGCTCCAACACTGGAAGTTTTTAAGAAGAGATTTGTCCGAAATGGTATAGGGTTTCCTGCCTGAGCAGGGAGTTGGACTAGATGATCTCCAAGGTCCCTTCCAACTTTATTATTATTATTGGAGAGGTAAGTCCATTAGGACCTCTTCCTAGAAATAGCTGCATAAGTTTGCTACAAACATCCACGGTAGATCTGTCACTTATCTATCATCTTTCATCAATCTTGCATCCATCCATCCTATATTTTCTAACATTTTCCTACAGTCAGTCACCTTTGCTTGGATGTGGATGAAATAAAATAAACAAAAATAAAACAAAAAAGATGATAAACATCTTTTTCATCCCTAAGATTTAGGCAAATTTCCAGCAAATACTGGGCTGCAGCCAATGACTGTAAAGAATACTACTAATGTGAGGGCTGCAATAATTTTGACGATTACACAATGGCAGCAAACAGAGTTGAAGTGAAGCTATTAAGGGCATCATCCAGATATGGCAGTCTATCTCAACCTTGGCGACTTGGAGCTGTGTGAACTTCAACTCCCAGAATTCCCTAGCCCGGGGATGGGCAACCTTGGCTCTTTTATGACTCGTGGACTTCAACTCCCAGAATTCCTGAGCCAGCATGGCTCAGCATGGAAACCTCTCCCTTTCCCCTCAGCATGGCTGGCTCAGGAATTCTGGGAGTTGAAGTCCACGAGTCATAAAAGAGCCAAGGTTGCCTACCCCTGCCCTAGCCCATTCTGGGAATTGAAGTCCACACAGCTTCAAATCGCCAAGGTTGAGAAGCACTCAGATACGGTAAGCTATCTAAGGGTACCCCTGTGCCCTCGTAAGGTTCAGGATAGTAAATAAATAAAGCTGAGTCTGGAGTTGGCTTTGCAGTAGATACAGGTCATTCAAATCGGATTGGAAGAGATAAAAGGGGGGAGAAGGGAACCTGGCTGCCATTGAAGGGAATCTTAAAGAACACATTTGGTCCATGGCTCCCCACCGCTCTGTAAAAAAAAAAAAATTTAGGGAAAGATCAAAGCAAAGCAGAACATCAAGACTTCTTTACCACCCTTTGACCAGCTGTGGGCGTAGGAGGCATTGCTCGGTGTCTTCTATGCAAGTGAGGAATGTGTTGAATTTATGGGGTGTGTCTGTGTGTTTTTGCACTTTCTTTCCAGGAACTACACAAAGCTCTCTTTCTTTCTCCCTCCCTCTCTCTCTCTCTCTCTCTCTCTCTCTCTCTCTGCCTGAAGATCTGATCAGGAAGGGTGCCAGATGTGCCTGGAGGAGAAGAGGGGTGAGCTTAATCAAGACGCATGCAGAAAGGGCAGGTCTTCAATTGCCCGAGTCTTGATGTTTTGGACCCTCTGCAGCCTTACCTGATGTCGTCATATTTTTGACTCTGCAGGTGCCTCTTTTTGTTCTCCTGTCTTGTGTCTTATCAGTTCACGCCCTGGAAAAAGATGTGTGGCATGGAGTGGCCCAAAGCATTCAGAGCTGCTGCCCCACCCTTTGGTGGAATTTTTTTCTGTATTTTTCCTCTCTGCAGCCCCACCCAGATTTAAGAACAATTAATCAAAGGAACAGCTGACTTACCAGAGTTGTTGTTGCTCCATCACTGGAGGATTTTAAGAAAAGATTAGACAACTATCTGTCCAGGATGGAATAATGACTTCTGCCTTGGGCAAGGGGTTGGACTAGATGACCTCCAGGTCTCTTCCAATTCTATGATTCTATGATTCTAAACTCGGTCTTTCTTTTCCTGCATAACAAATTCAGTTCCATTCCGTTCAATTTGGGAGGATTATTCTGCTGACAGTCTCATCACCTTTACATAATTTCTTGCATTCAAAAGGATTAAAAGTCTTAGCACTACTGAAGAGAAAATTTAAAATCCATTTTTAGGTATCTCAGAATATATGCCTCCCACAAAGCTAAAATTTGGCTTTACTTCTTTTTCTTTTTTTTTTACTGCCAGCTCTCCAAGGGATCAATCTCTATAAGATCTCATCCTACGCTGTAGAATTTTGCAGAGATTAGGAATATTTGCTGCTTTCTTGAGTCTTATAACTTATCAGGCGGAAAATTTATTTCCTTGTTTTCTTCTTTTTCACGTTGCCGAAGCTGCTGAGTGAATCTGAGTGATCTAATTGTGTTGGTATTTCACTAAAGTTTAACTACTGTATACAGTTGTTTGCTACAGAGGATATGCAGTGACCTTTCATTAATGCAGATAATTTGGCATTGAATCCTCTGCTTGTATTCGCTCCCAGGCCAAGATAAATAGAGGTGGCTCACGGGCAGAGGGGTTGCTAAGAGGACAGCAGGGCAAAGTAGACCCCCAAAGGAAAGTTGTTGGTGTGTTGATTGAGTTACATGTAGTACAGGCTTCCCAGACTTCAGTTTTGGCCAAAAAAGATTTCTTTTTTTTCCAGCTGGGAGAAAGAACAGGTAAGTCCTTGAAGTACAACCACACCTGAGCCCAAAAGTGAGAAATCTGTTAAGTGTTAAGTGAGAAATCTGTTAATGAGTTTTGCCCCATCTTATGATTTTTCTTGCCACATTTGTTAAGCGAATCACTGCAGCTGTTAAATTAATACCACTTTACAAGGCCTTTGTAAGGCCACACTTGGAATACTGCATCCAGTTTTGGACACCAGGATGTAAAAAAGATGTTGAGACTCTAGAAAGACTACAGAGAAGAGCAATAAAGATAATTAGAGGACTGGAGGCTAAAACATATAAGGAACGGTTGTTGGAATTGGGTACGTCTAGTTTAACGAAGAGAAGGACGAGGGGGGACATCATAGCAGTGTTCCAATATCTCAGGGGCTGCCCCAAAGAAGAGGGAGTCAAGCTATTCTCCAAAGCGCCTGAAGGCAGGACAAGAAGCAACGGATGGAAACTAATCAAGGAGAGAAGCAACCTGGAACTAAGGAGAAACTTCCTGACAGTTAGAACAATTAACTAGTGGAACAACCTGCCTCCAGAAGCTCTGAATGCTCCAACACTGGAAGTTTTTAAGAAGAAACTGGACAGCCATTTGTCCGAAATGGTATAGGGTTTCCTGCCTGAGCCGGGGGTTGGACTAGATGACTTCCAAGGTCCCTTCCAACTTTATCATCATTATTATTATTAGTAAGACCATTTTGACTTTGCTTGTCAGAAGGTCACAAAAGGCGATCAAGACCCCTGGACACTGCGACCATCATAAATATAAACCTGTTGCCAAGCATCTGAATGTAAATCACGTGACCAGGGGGATTGCTGCAAAGGTCATAAATGTGAAAAATGGTCATAAGTCACTTTTTTCGGTGCTGTTGTAACTTTGAACGGTCACTAAATGAACTGTTGAAAGTCAAGGACTGCCTGTATGGATCTTCTGAAGTTTCCTGTTTTATTCAACTAAATGACTGGCTTCACCAAACATCTTTAACTCAATTAAGGATTAAATATATGTCTTGGATTATTACCGTAAAACAATCAACAGTAAGTTTAGAAAAGCTTAGATTTAATCTCAAACAGGCCCAGGTTGGTTTTAGCTCTCCCTTACACAGAGGTGTCAAAAAAAGTCCAGATGTTGGGCACAATTTCCAAGATCAAGGCTCCACCCCCTTTTTACATTGATTTGTCCTGGGTTGGGCAAATGTCAAAACCAGCCCTGTTGTCTGTGTTTCCAGTCTGTTGATTCAACATACTGGTTGGGCTCACTTCCTGCAATAAGTCAAAAATTTTGAAAATCATCCTTTGTCAAATAAAACCATACTGGAGTCATTCCCATACAAGGCTATCTCACTGTGATGACCCATATACCGTACCATAATAAAGATTGAGTTTCATGGGGCATCATTATGGTTGGGCTCCCCTATTGACTCAAACAAAAATTATTGTGTTATTTAACCCCAGAACAACACTGTGTAATGGAATTTGGGCACTCTTCCAGATCTCCCTCCCCATTAACTGCTGTTTTTGAGGGGGCAGCCACAAAGAAGAGGGGGTCAAACTATTCTCCAAAGCAACAGAAGGCAGGTCAA